CTGGTTTTGGAGCCAAATTGCGGCCGTAGTAGGCCGAAGACGCTGATATTACACTAGGCACCCGTTTAAAAAAAGTGAATTAGTGATGTCGGAGTGAATTGACGTGACCTACACCATTCGAAACATAACAAAATGAAATTTCAAAGCCACAAGTTTCACCGGTTTTGGAGCCAAATTGCGGCCGTAGCATACCGAACACGCTGATATTACACTAGGCACCAATAAAAAATAAAGTGAATTAGTGATGTCGGAGTGAATTGACGTGACCTACACCATTCGAAACATAACAAAATGAAATTTCAAAGCCGCAAGTTTCACCGGTTTTGGAGCCAAATTGCGGCCGTAGTAGGCCGAAGACGCTGATATTACACTAGGCACCCGTTTAAAAAAAAGTGAATTAGTGATGTCGGAGTGAATTGAAGTGACCTACACCATTCGAAACGTAACAGAATGAAATTTCAAAGCCGCAAGTTTTGCTGGTTTTGGAGCCAAATTGCGGCCGTAGTAGGCCGAAGACGCTGATATTACACTAGGCACCCGTTTAAAAAAAGTGAATTAGTGATGTCGGAGTGAATTGACGTGACCTACACCATTCGAAACGTAACAGAATGAAATTTCAAAGCCGCAAGTTTTGCTGGTTTTGGAGCCAAATTGCGGCCGTAGTAGGCCGAAGACGCTGATATTACACTAGGCACCCGTTTAAAAAATAAGTGAATTAGTGATGTCGGAGTGAATTGACGTGACCTACACCATTCGAAACGTAACAGAATGAAATTTCAAAGCCGCAAGTTTTGCTGGTTTTGGAGCCAAATTGCGGCCGTAGTAGGCCGAAGACGCTGATATTACACTAGGCACCCGTTTAAAAAAAGTGAATTAGTGATGTCGGAGTGAATTGACGTGACCTACACCATTCGAAACGTAACAGAATGAAATTTCAAAGCCGCAAGTTCTGCTGGTTTTGGAGCCAAATTGCGGCCGTAGTAGGCCGAAGACGCTGATATTACACTAGGCACCCGTTTAAAAAAAGTGAATTAGTGATGTCGGAGTGAATTGACGTGACCTACACCATTCGAAACATAACAAAATGAAATTTCATAGCCGCAAGTTTCACCGGTTTTGGAGCCAAATTGCGCCCGTAGTAGGCCGAAGACGCTGATATTACACTAGGCACCCGTTTAAAAAATAAGTGAATTAGTGATGTCGGAGTGAATTGACGTGACCTACACCATTCGAAACGTAACAGAATGAAATTTCAAAGCCGCAAGTTTTGCTGGTTTTGGAGCCAAATTGCGGCCGTAGTAGGCCGAAGACGCTGATATTACACTAGGCACCCGTTTAAAAAAAGTGAATTAGTGATGTCGGAGTGAATTGACGTGACCTACACCATTCGAAACATAACAAAATGAAATTTCAAAGCCGCAAGTTTCACCGGTTTTGGAGCCAAATTGCGGCCGTAGCATACCGAACACGCTGATATTACACTAGGCACCAATAAAAAATAATGTGAATTAGTGATGTCGGAGTGAATTGACGTGACCTACACCATTCGAAACATAACAAAATGAAATTTCATAGCCGCAAGTTTTGCTGGTTTTGGAGCCAAATTGCGGCCGTAGCATACCGAACACGCTGATATTACACTAGGCACCCGTTTAAAAAATAAGTGAATTAGTGATGTCGGAGTGAATTGACGTGACCTACACCATTCGAAACATAACAAAATGAAATTTCATAGCCGCAAGTTTTGCTGGTTTTGGAGCCAAATTGCGGCCGTAGTAGGCCGAAGACGCTGATATTACACTAGGCACCCGTTTAAAAAAAGTGAATTAGTGATGTCGGAGTGAATTGACGTGACCTACACCATTCGAAACATAACAAAATGAAATTTCATAGCCGCAAGTTTTGCTGGTTTTGGAGCCAAATTGCGGCCGTAGTAGGCCGAAGACGCTGATATTACACTAGGCACCCGTTTAAAAAAAGTGAATTAGTGATGTCGGAGTGAATTGACGTGACCTACACCATTCGAAACGTAACAGAATGAAATTTCAAAGCCGCAAGTTTTGCTGGTTTTGGAGCCAAATTGCGGCCGTAGTAGGCCGAAGACGCTGATATTACACTAGGCACCCGTTTAAAAAATAAGTGAATTAGTGATGTCGGAGTGAATTGACGTGACCTACACCATTCGAAACGTAACAGAATGAAATTTCAAAGCCGCAAGTTTTGCTGGTTTTGGAGCCAAATTGCGGCCGTAGTAGGCCGAAGACGCTGATATTACACTAGGCACCCGTTTAAAAAAAGTGAATTAGTGATGTCGGAGTGAATTGACGTGACCTACACCATTCGAAACGTAACAGAATGAAATTTCAAAGCCGCAAGTTCTGCTGGTTTTGGAGCCAAATTGCGGCCGTAGTAGGCCGAAGACGCTGATATTACACTAGGCACCCGTTTAAAAAAAGTGAATTAGTGATGTCGGAGTGAATTGACGTGACCTACACCATTCGAAACATAACAAAATGAAATTTCATAGCCGCAAGTTTCACCGGTTTTGGAGCCAAATTGCGCCCGTAGTAGGCCGAAGACGCTGATATTACACTAGGCACCCGTTTAAAAAATAAGTGAATTAGTGATGTCGGAGTGAATTGACGTGACCTACACCATTCGAAACGTAACAGAATGAAATTTCAAAGCCGCAAGTTTTGCTGGTTTTGGAGCCAAATTGCGGCCGTAGTAGGCCGAAGACGCTGATATTACACTAGGCACCCGTTTAAAAAATAAGTGAATTAGTGATGTCGGAGTGAATTGACGTGACCTACACCATTCGAAACATAACAAAATGAAATTTCAAAGCCGCAAGTTTCACCGGTTTTGGAGCCAAATTGCGGCCGTAGCATACCGAACACGCTGATATTACACTAGGCACCAATAAAAAATAATGTGAATTAGTGATGTCGGAGTGAATTGACGTGACCAACACCATTCGAAACATAACAAAATGAAATTTCATAGCCGCAAGTTTTGCTGGTTTTGGAGCCAAATTGCGGCCGTAGCATACCGAACACGCTGATATTACACTAGGCACCCGTTTAAAAAATAAGTGAATTAGTGATGTCGGAGTGAATTGACGTGACCTACACCATTCGAAACATAACAAAATGAAATTTCATAGCCGCAAGTTTTGCTGGTTTTGGAGCCAAATTGCGGCCGTAGTAGGCCGAAGACGCTGATATTACACTAGGCACCCGTTTAAAAAAAGTGAATTAGTGATGTCGGAGTGAATTGACGTGACCTACACCATTCGAAACATAACAAAATGAAATTTCATAGCCGCAAGTTTTGCTGGTTTTGGAGCCAAATTGCGGCCGTAGTAGGCCGAAGACGCTGATATTACACTAGGCACCGGTTTAAAAAAAAAGTGAATTAGTGATGTCGGAGTGAATTGACGTGACCTATGCCATTCGAAACATAACAGAATGAAATTTCATAGCCGCAAGTTTTGCTGGTTTTGGAGCCAAATTGCGCCCGTAGCAGGCCGAACACGCTGATATTACACTAGGCACCGGTTTAAAATTAAAGTGAATTAGTGATGTCGGAGTGAATTGACGTGACCTACACCATTCGAAACATATCTCAATGAAATTTCAAAGCCGCAAGTTTCGCCGGCTTTGGAGACAAATTGCGCCCGTACCAGGCCGAAGACGCTGATATTACACTGGCACCAATAAAAAATAATGTGAATTAGTGATGTCGGAGTGAATTGACGTGACCAACACCATTCGAAACATAACAAAATGAAATTTCATAGCCGCAAGTTTTGCTGGTTTTGGAGCCAAATTGCGGCCGTAGCATACCGAACACGCTGATATTACACTAGGCACCCGTTTAAAAAATAAGTGAATTAGTGATGTCGGAGTGAATTGACGTGACCTACACCATTCGAAACATAACAAAATGAAATTTCATAGCCGCAAGTTTTGCTGGTTTTGGAGCCAAATTGCGGCCGTAGTAGGCCGAAGACGCTGATATTACACTAGGCACCCGTTTAAAAAAAAGTGAATTAGTGATGTCGGAGTGAATTGACGTGACCTACACCATTCGAAACATAACAAAATTAAATTTCATAGCCGCAAGTTTTGCTGGTTTTGGAGCCAAATTGCGGCCGTAGTAGGCCGAAGACGCTGATATTACACTAGGCACCGGTTTAAAAAAAAAGTGAATTAGTGATGTCGGAGTGAATTGACGTGACCTATGCCATTCGAAACATAACAGAATGAAATTTCATAGCCGCAAGTTTTGCTGGTTTTGGAGCCAAATTGCGCCCGTAGCAGGCCGAACACGCTGATATTACACTAGGCACCGGTTTAAAATTAAAGTGAATTAGTGATGTCGGAGTGAATTGACGTGACCTACACCATTCGAAACATATCTCAATGAAATTTCAAAGCCGCAAGTTTCGCCGGCTTTGGAGACAAATTGCGCCCGTACCAGGCCGAAGACGCTGATATTACACTGGCACCAATAAAAAATGCTTTGATTGAGTCTCGTAGTTTCTTGGTGTACTCGTGCCGATAATTGTACTATTAATATTTCAATCTTGGCAAAGGCCCTCTCTCTCTCTCTTTGCCCCTCTTTTGGATGGGGTCTGATTAGGCAGAAACGATCTCTGTTCATGTCAAAAATCCGTTGAAGTAAAACCGGCCAAATCTCATTTTATTCAAAAAAAAATTACTCGTCTTTTATCATTTATCATAACAGACACCGTAGAAAAACAAATTAATGTGAAAAAGTCTTAAAAAATCACCTAAATTAAACCTGTTTTACGGGACAGACATTCACAATGAAAAAAATTAAACTTTAATGGGCAAAAAAGCGATCCGTAGTACCTTGAAAATGGAATACCCGCTAAAAAATAAATTATTTACCCTACAATATAAAATACAGATAAAACCTATGATATTTGGAGTTGCACTATGATTGGTATGTGACCGGTGTTGTTCCACAATCTACCCGCTCATGTTCGCCTTTTTAGGTGTGGCCGGCAATGAATGAACGTTTTCTTGACTCATCACCATATTTCGAATATCCTCAACAATCAATCTGGCCATTTCGTACGACTTCTCGTCTTCCTGGGCCATCGATTGTTTCAGATATTTATTCAGAACACCGCGAAATCCATTCTTTGGAGGCTCCTCCAAGTGGTACAATGAAGTGTCAAAGAGGCTTTCGTAACGGCCGAGGGGATCGATCCGGCCAAGAGCGCTCCTGAAATTCAAAAATTCGATTTTTTTATGGGTAAAATACGCGTGGTCCTATGTACTCCGTTTTCAAAAAAAAATGTGAAAATACAGTGGAACCTTCGTAAAACAAACTCCCGTACAACGAAACCTGTACATAAAATTTTTGAGACAGCTAAAGACAATTTTGGGCCAAAATGAACCATAAAATCAAAAAAGCAATTTAAAAAGCCAAGACAACCACTTTTAAATCACGATCCTACGGCTTAGAAGACAAAATGTCACAGGAATTTTGCTGTTTCTACTCGTAACAAGGGATTGGCAATAGTTTAAAATGATTAAATTGACATGTAAAATATATTCCAAACCACATTAAAATTATTTATACATCGTTTCAAGAACGTGGGAGAACAAAAAATTCTGTGACATTTCGTCTTTCAAGCAGTAAAAGCGAGATTCAAATGCAGTCCTTTTGGTCGCATAATATTTTTTAACAAAATTTATTTGATTTTTTAAAGATGTTGAATTTCCAGCTCTTAATTTTTATCCCCAAATGTGAACGCTTTCTTGCATAAGCGTATTTTAAACCTACGGATTTCTCTTGCTTATCGATCCATCGCTACATTGCGAACTGCTTTCGTCATCGCCCAAAGTCGATGACGTACTTGTCGATCGGTGTTTGAAACGGTGATTAGAGTCGTGCCGAGAAGGCGTGGACAGAGCAGAGAATTGACCAGTCAACTTCGCCTTGGAATTGTCCAGAGAAAGCGCTGGAGAGTCTGGAGGTCGAGAGAACGTCGGCTCTGCCGGAAGAGAAGCTGAAAAATATTTTTATTCTTGACATAGGCAAAATGACGTATTTTACAATATATTTCGGCGAAATTCGTAGAAAGGCGGTTTGAAAAGTCACCAAACTTTCTTATTTTTATTTGCTAGATCCCGGTTCAAATGCACAGGACAAAGCGCAGAACGGCGGTATGCACTCTCGCTAGCCGTTGTAGGGCTAAAATTTGGCATGGCAGTAGAATAGACAGTCAGCTTTCGGAAAATATAAATATCGTAGGAAACCCCGCATATTTTTTCAAAAAAAAATTATGAAATCAAAAAATTAAGTCAGAACGGGACCGAAAAACTTTACGCACCCCGATGCGGCATTTGTCATTTCCCCGTTGAGCCTTTAAAATGGCTTAACAGGAGATCCGTATTTTACAATTGACATTATAAAAATTGTTTATGTTCAAGGAATAGACCAAAAAATAACATTGCAGAGGTGTTGCCTTGCTCATTTCATTATTAAAATTGTCCCACTAAGCCGTTAAAAATGCTCGTTATCAGCCTGTCGGGAAAATACTGGCCACTCTGTCGCATCGAAAAATCGCTGAAAAAAAGAATTGTGTCGCGAAAAAATCGATTTTTTTCACTTCAGCGACGCAATCGGCGCAGCGACATTGCGCTCATTATTTTCCCGACAGACTGATATATACAGGGTTTGTTGAAGAAGAATTTATTGTATTTATTTTAGAGGTTATTAGGCCTTCTTCAATCATGTTTTGAAACTCTGTTTAGCCTTTTTTTAAAGCTCGTTGTCTCCTTACCTCTTTTGACCCTCAACTCTTTCTCCTGAACCACTCTTTCCTCCTCCATCTGCATAAATCTTTGGACTGATTTGCCCAACATATCCACATAAGAATGATAGAGATCCGTCTTCATAAACAGTGGGATGTAATGCTGAAAAAAAAGAGTTTTTAAAATACGATTTCTTCAAAATTAGTCCAACATACAGTCTCTAAAACAGCTTGTGCCGCATTCTTTGCTTTTGTAAAAACTCTATGCTGAGGTACCCGATCCTCACTGCAAATTTTTGTTTCCACATCAATCCTAATGGCACTGTCAAAATCCAAAGGATCCGTGGCTTGCAGTGATATGTACTTGTCGTAGATTACCATAGCGCTCTCTTGTAAATCGGCTTTTTCGTCGGATACTTCGTCGTCGAAAGATTCGACGGCCAAGATAAACTCAATCAACTGACGTTTGTTTTTGGATTCGAGGAACTGAAAAAAATATAATAGAGTAATTTTTAAAATTACCAAAAAAGTTGGGTATTTTGCAAAATGATTTATTAGGTTGGACGGAAAGTCTTTGCCATTTTTTATCCAATTTTGAAATTTATTTTTTTCGCGCCAAGACCGCGTTAGCACATGTTAAGAGCTTCAAAAGAAGTCTTTTTAACAGTGCTAAAACAGTTTTCTATAAGGCCTTGTTAAACAAACCAGCCAAACATTTCTACTTGTAGACCAAAGATGGGTAAATCTCTAAATTAAGTTCTCTGCTTGTACATGCTTAAGATGGCTGAGGGTTGTACTGTCAGATAGGGATGCCTGTCCCCTACCAACACCATATATTAGTGTTTGCCTTTTTCCATCAATGCAAGGAAAAATAGCAGCAGAAAAAAGGCAAAGGCTTTCCGTCCAACCTAATACAAGAAACCCGTGAACAGCAGAGATGTCTATAAGCAGCAATTTCTGAATTAAAAAAAACTTCTATTCAGCAGTAAGCCAAACAGAGCTACAAAAAAGCGCCTTGTGTTACTATTCCCTTTAAGTAAAGTCGATGGAGTGACTTTTGGCGTTTGCACTGTGCAGATAAAGTCAGGGTTTGAGCGATGGTGCAAAAAGCAAGAAATTGCACAGTGAAAAGTGAACTTTTGTTTTTGCACAGTGTAGACGCCGAAAAATCACTCCCGCGACTTTGCGGACGGATTAGTACACTACATGGGCACTACGATGTCATAAGAGACCAAAATTCTCTGTAAAAAGTGAAGAAGTCTAACAATAAAAAACTATTCGCTTATTGCGCATTATTGCAAACATGCCCGCATATTTCCATCTTTACTTGAAATTTGGACGGTTGAGACCTCAAAAACCGTTCGTTACAAGGCATTTTCTTGTATAAAGTACCTTGAATAATAAGTAATAAATCGACCGCTTTATCGTAGCGGAAGATAATTCAAGTACGACCTTGCGGCTTTTTTCAAATCTGCTTTAATTCCCGACGATTTTGGCCCGTGTTTTATAAGCACAGCCCTCTAAAACATTGTCAAAAAAAGGGCTTTCAACCCTCTTCCAACTGGGCCGAAAGCCGGGCCGTGAGAGCCGCAAAGCTCAAATTTTTTATAGCCCTTTCGCCAAGGATACAAATAAAAAACAAAACCTGAAAAAATCACCTCAACAAACGGGCTGAGTAATCGATGGTCACTCAAAACGTCGATCAGCTCCACTGATCCAGTTTTGAAACATTCAACTTGATGCATAATAAAGTACGGGCTTTTCATGAAACCTTTGAAGTGAACGTTTTTCAACTGCTCCCATGCGTATTCCTGAGCCTTGGAAAAACAATTGCAAGTTGTGAGATTTTGAAAGTCTGCAAAAACAAGATTGGTCGGTAAAATACGCAATGAATTCTTCTTACCAATTGATTTTAGAACACTCGAAGGCAGCTGAAGTTTCTGTGGGGCGTCGGGAGAAAGATATGTGTGGCAAATGAGTTGAACTTCTTTTGGAATATCTAAAAAATACATTTGCGTTCAACTGGTGGGAGATAAAAAATCGAAAAAGGCGAGCGTACGTATTTTACAAATAAATAGTTTTCCATGGCTCCGTTTTTCGGCGGTATGGCCTAAAATTTACAATTCGCGGCCTTTTTATAATTGTTCATCCCAGGTTAACGACAGTAAAAAATTGATCAACACGATGTGCATGACAAGTGGACACTCACAAACAAAGATTGTAAAATGTGCCTATAGGGTCTGGAAAAGCCGGTGAAAGCTTGGCGGATGGTCGGCGAAGGCTCGGCGGAGACTAGGCGAAGGCTTTTAGTTTGACGGTTTTTTTCTAATGAACGTTAGTTTTCTTGACTCTGAGCTACTGTAAAATAAATAGAAACAACCAAAAATGCCCCCGAAACACCAAACCCCGTAAGATTTCCCGTATACCTTTGTATTGTTTTAGTAATACATATATGGAAAATGCCTCAAAAAAGTTGACAACCTCTTCGTAAACGTGGAAAATCTTGTTACTTCTGATAACTAATCCTTCTCCTGGCCACCCACACATATAAAATTGTAAATTGAGGCCACCTAAAGTATCGCCGACCCAAACTATCGCTTATTTTTAAATTGGCATCTCATCATGCATCAATGCGTCATTTTTAAAATTGCGAGATCGTAAACCATTTTCAAAGATTTGCTTTACAAATTTTTACTTATCATTTACAATAACTCACTTTTTTGCCATAGTTTACCCAATAAATTTACCATCCCCTCCACACTTATTACCCTGACAATCTCCAGCGCTTTGAAATCCCTCCAAATGGATCCAAAACTTCAGCAAATTCGAAGCGCCATTCCTCTCCAAGTACCTCATAAAGTAAGTCATCGCCGAGAGCTCCGAAAACAGCTCTTCGAACCGTCTAATCACCGTTGGCGCATCAATTGAGTTCTGTTGAAAAACTGACGAACTGGCCTCTGCATCGTCAATTTCATCGAGTTCTTGGGAATTTGAAGGCTTCTTCAGTTTGGCTGAAAATTTTTTGAATTATTTAGTTTTGACTAGGCTTTGTTATGGATGTGGAAAACCTAAAAATCAATAAATTTTTTAATCAAAAGATTGAATTTACCTTTTTCTTTCAGTTTCCCGAGTAAACTGTGGATCTTTGTGGACATTTACGTGCTAAAAATTACTGTAGAATTAGAAAAATTTGTGAGCAAATTTTTTTGCTAAATCGCGAGAAAAAGCGGATATCAAATGCAACTGTAAAGGAAGTAATCAAAAAAATTGCCATGAAAAAATTTTTTATTTGGAAATTTAGGGTAAAATACGGTCTTTTATAACGTTTTCGTTAACTTCAAAGAATAAATCTCAAAAGGAAATTTGAATGGCCTACTAAAATACTGTACAAATCATACTCAATACAGTATAAAATAAGAAATTGTTTTTTAAAATACGACATCATCAACGTACAATGGAGGTCTGTGATAACCAAATAAAAAAATTACCACTGTTAAAATTGTTCAGTATATCAGTTAAAAATAAATTCTTTTTGCACAACTCATGGTAAAATACGTCATCAAAAAAAACTATGGCTAAAATACGGGTCTTTTAGAAATTTCTGCACAACTGTTAGCTATCTTTACATTCGAAAATATTTTTAGCCGTGTTTTTAATAAAAAATTGCGTATAAAAAAATTACGTTTTATGATAAAAAAACTTTAGACTGAAAAATGATTTTTTGACTGTAAAATAAGGCAGCTACAATTTAGAGCCAAATATTTTTCCCTGTTGAAAATCTTCAGTGAGATTTATTTTTGTTTTTTTTTATTTTATCGTATTTTTTGAATAAAAAATATTTTTTCAATACTCAAAATCAAAACAGTTACAACATCCGATCCGGGAATTTAGTTAAAACTGATTTGAAAAAACCTGCTCAACACCAAAACAAATCCTTTCCCAAAAAAAGAGGAGAGAGAAACTGGAAAAAGCGGCGAAATGCCGATATTCCCCTTCCTTTCCCTTCTCTTCTCTTTTTTCTCCCCAAAATAAGTCCGGTATTATATTATTGTTTTCGAGAAATAAATTGAAAAAACCTCTCGCCTTCTAAGCCTCTCGAATTACGAGAACTGCGGGAGTGATAAAGATGATGACATGACTTCTAAAATTTATAAAGGCTGTGCCATCTATGTGGCCCGATTTGAATTGGCTATAACTTCTTTATTTCGTGGCCAAATTTGAAGATTCCTTTTTACGCTGAATCCTCAGAATCTCCCATTTTTTATAATACCAAATATGATATACCTTTTTTACGAAGCTACAGCAAAAAGTAAGCAAATTCAAATCGGGTATTATGCTTGGGCCTAGTATAATAAAAAGGCCAATAAAATAGAAAATAACTCTCAAACATTCTTCAAATTTTGCATGAATACTCTAAATAGGCCAGATATCAGCCCATCAAAAATTTGGCTCGATTTTTTGTTATGCAGCTGAATTACGCAACATTTTTTTCAAGGGAACACATAAAATGAGGAGAGACGGTTAGACAAAAAAACGTTTTCTTTTTACTATAAAATTCCGAAATTTTTTCAAAAATTTTTTAGAACCACCTCACTTGTTATAAATTCTAAAATTAAACTTTTTTTCTCTGACCGTCTCTCCACATTTTGCATACTCTCTCGAAAAAAGATCGTTGAATATCTCTGTTGTGCCTGCAAATTTCGAGCTCAAATTTTCAGCAGTTGATATGCGGCCGATAGTAAATAAAAATGAAGAAAAATCGATTACAGGGTGTCCCAAAAAAAATGCATGTTTTTTCCATCTGTCTTGACGAGAAAATGTTTAGGTCAGGCCAAAAGATTTTTGTACTGCTAAAATCTCCGTGTTTTTCTGCCCTAGTCATTTCAGTTTTGTGTTCATATCGATTAAGTAGCATGGTTTTTTAAAATGTCAAACAAAGGAACTGCGATTTTGTCACTATTTTTGAGCCGTTCAGGTTGTAAATTTGCCCAGTATAGAAAGGACGTTGTGTCAAAAGTAATCACGCGATGTAAGGAGCTTGATAACGATAGTAAGCGTTCAGGACGTAAAGGAAAACGCACCGCCAGCGGTTCTGTCAACCGGGAGAACACCAACAGCAAAACGCTATCTTCAAGAAAAACTTGCCTGTGAGATCGGCGTCAGCGACCGATCGGTCACCCGAATAGTCTATGATGAGCTACGCCTCACGCTGTATAAGCTGTAAAAAGCTCAGATCTTTGAAGTAGACGGCAAGTGCGTGCGGCGCGAAAAATGTCGAAAACTCAAGGGCTGGGCCGCAACTCACAGACGTAAGCGCATTCGTTCGTGGTTCAATATTTGGCGGATGCACAACCACCAGAGCGATTGGATCTTCTTAGATTAGGCCCTCGGCATGTCGGCTAACGTCGAAAACCGTCAAAATCCGGGCCGTCATCGCCTAAGGCGGAATTTCTCCCAGCGGCAAGAATTCCATGGTTTTCTCGGATCAAGGGGGCAAAATTTTAGCGCCGCGTTAATCTTGATTTTCCCGTACTTCTGTTGACTCAGCAGAACCTCGGCAATGCAAATTTGGCGTCCTTGCTAGACTCAGCTCCGGCTCACAAAGCAAAATCGACTCAGGACCCGAAATGGGAACGATTTTCCCGATTTCACCCCGTCCGCAAAATGGCCGTCTGCTCGCCGGATCTGAATCCGATTGACTATATTTTTTTTTCAATTGGAGGCCATTGCCTGTGCTACACACCACAAAAGTTTGGAATGGCAAAGTAATCGTTGCGCCAAGAACGGGACCGATTTCCTCGAAAAAGGCTGCGGCCCCGAGCCCAAAATTTTAAGTTACTTTTGAAGCTCTATATCGCCCCCAAGGGCAGCCACTGTGAAACTGGCTTGATATGTTATCAATAATCCTTTATGTTAGTGATATCCATTGTTAGTTTGGCTAAATTTTGTTTGGTATATAAAATCTAGCCATAAAAATAACATGCATTTTTTTTGGGACACCCTGTATACTATCAACAATTTATTTTTTTAAAATACGCCAAATTGCCATGATATCACTCAAAAAAAATCGATTTTTTTATCCAAATTTATTCCCAAAGCAACGACAAACTTCCCAAAAATAGCCTCTACCTCTTTCTTCACCCGTTTACTATTCATTTATTCGATTCCCCGACGCATTTTTTCCCCAAATCATCAACAAATCTCAAGGATAATATAAAATTTTACCCAAGGAAGTGCAAAAAAGTAATCGTGAGGCCAGAAGAAAGGTTCTAGATGTCCCGCTGACCGAGAAGAAGTAGAGTTCATCTTCTCGGGGGATCTTGTGGGAACAATAAAACCCGAACAACTTTTTTCTCGCAAAAAAAAGAAAGAACTGATCTTCAGAGGAGAAATTCGACCGTTTAATGAATTCGCGCTTGGGAAAAACAAGCAAAAACAGACGAAGAAGGAACGAGAAGTGGCGCTGAATTAGTAGGGTTTAATTTTACAACAAATCGAGGGGTTTTATATGATTTGAAGAGCTCTGAAGCAAGTGTAAGGTAAAAATCGGAGAAAAATTGAAGAAAAAAGTTAAAAGTATTAACATAAATTGAAAATACATGAAATATCAGGTCAGAAAACATACATAATATCATATTATGAAGTTCAATAAACGTATTTTACCATAACTTTTTCGTTTTTTCAAATATTTGATACTCGATGCCATGTGTAATATCGAAAAGTCCAAAGAATAAAAATTTTTTGATTTGAAATCTCATGGAAATCCTTACTCAACATTTATCAACCTGTTTTCTCAATTCCAACTACAGTAATCGCCAACGACAACCCAAGGACAAGACTTGACGCAAAAGTGGAACACTTGACTCAAACAGTTTTCTGTCGGCGACTGGTCGAATTTTCCGCAACAAACTACTTTTTCACACTAATTCCGACACTTCTTTGTGGCAAGCGGTTATTTTCTGGCAAATAGCAACACTTTTTTCGAGTTTTGACATCAAATGTCTAGTGCAATATCGGAAATCTTGAATATTTTTCATTTTTTGTTGACGTAAATTTTCATTCTTATCTATCAGATCCCTTGAATAATTTCTTACCCCTTTTCAGGACACACAAACCCTAAAATGGCCCGTAATAAGCAAGCAACTCCTGTCGCGCACCTCCAAACCGCCCGGAAGTCGGTCACCAACCGAGCTTCTTTCCTCCGCGGCGGTGGTCCACAGAACGCCGTCGCTGAGCCCAAGAAGACCAAAAGCAGGAAGACCAAGAAGGCGAAGGACTCTCAGTCGCAGGATCTACAGTTCTTCAGCAAAAATGGAAAAAGTAAGCTCACATGGTTAATATTATTTTTTTCAAACTCTAGAGAATTTTGATGGTTGATTGGTAAATTGCGGCTGTTTTTGGCTTCTCCATGCCATTTTGCGTAATTGGCGTTATTTTTCATCGTCTATGGGCCAAATTCGCAAATTTACATTATTTTAGGTATAAAAACGAAAATTTTTGACGTTTTTTGATTGTTTTGTCCTCCAACGCGTGAAATGTGACTGTAAATTACTGTTTACTGCTATTTCACTCACTTTGATATTTATCTTTCCATTCATCAATCTTTCTGAAATTTACCTTATGTTAGGCTAAAAATATTGATTTTTTGACGTTTCTCCGCAAATGCTGATGTCGCCGTTTCAGGAATTCGAGTTTTTGAAGAGATCCGCCGTTGCCAGCGTCAGACGATCTCTTTCATCCCGAGGGCAGCTTTTTTCCGGTTGGTGAAATCAATTGCCACGGAGTTTTCGGCCGACCTGAAATATAAAGTCGAAGCCATCATGTGTTTGCAGGTATTTTGATTTTTTATGCTGTTTTCTGTCATTTAGGAGCCATTTGCCAGCTTTATTCTCACTTGCGCCGCTATTTTGCACCAATTTTGTATTACTTTAGGAGGCAGCCGAGGCCTATCTAACCCAAGTCTTCGAGGACACCAATTTGCTCGCCATGCACGCTGGACGCGTTACGATCATGGCCAGGGACATGAAGCTGGCCATGAGGATCCGCGGCAACAAGAATTATTAATAATTTGACCTCTCATTTCATTTATCCCAGTTTTCATTTGACTAACCCAAATTTTGTTGCTTTTTTTGTTGGATAATCGATAAATACTAATGTACACGTATTTGATGGTCTTTTTTATGGTTTAAACGGTTTTTGACCGACCTTTACTGCCAAATTTGAGGTTTTTTGAGCAAAATTGGCAGATTTGTCATGTATAAGGTACGAAAACTGTAGTGATGGGTTTTATACTGCGGAAAAGGGCTGGAACAGATGTTATATAGTTTCTTTAGGTCATCTACGTTGTTATCGAGGTACTTGCAACAAAATTACATAAAAAAATTTGGGTACTAAGACTAAATTTTCTATTTTTTCCCGATTTTTTCAAAAAACGGCCATAATTTCGACACCTCACTATGTAAAAATCCTGCGTACACTAAAAATTTTCTCCAAAATTTAAAATTACAAGTTTATTTGCTAAAAAAAATCCAATAATTTATTATAAATACCGATAAAAATATTATTAATTAACTCAACATTACAAATCCAAAAATGGATATTGTAGAACAATAAAAATTGCAGTTACAAACCTTCGGGCAAGACTAGAAACTAAAATTAAAATTGGCTCTAACTGAAGAGGAAGTGATATGGGTATCCTTGGTACTTGCTGCGGAAAACGGAGAGGAGCAAGCTGAAGAATATAACAACCAGCCCGATTCCGGCGTAGCAAAAGACTGAAATAGAGATTATTATTACATTTGGGTAATTCTTGAGGGAGAAAACGATCTTTTTAGGATTTTGATGTCTAGTGCAATATAAAAAGTTCGTCGAAATTGCCTTATTTTCTAGTAAAATCATCTACGGGCCATCACTGTTATATTTTTACACTAATCCCTCCACAAAATCTGCAAAAAACTTGATATTTTCGTGTTTTTATTATATCTGATCTCAAGTATAATATCGCAACTCAACCAAAAATCAATACCGCGATATAAATCCAAGTTTTCTATCAAAACAAGCAAAAAAAGGGACTATTCATCAAAAAAAATTTTACCGCAGACCTCAATTTCGAACTTATATTCCCAGTCCCGCACTGTGCACTAACTTTCTCCCTAAAATCCTCAACACAAAGCCAAAATCAACTTACATTTCTTCTTCCCTTGTTGATCAGTCAGCTTTCCAGATGCACTTTCATTCAAGAACACCATTCCCAAAGAAATCAAGGCGTACAAGACAAAAACGATATAAGTTTCAGCGATCAGCTGATACTGAGTGGAGCCATGGATGAAAGAAGTCTGGCGGGATTGGGGATGGGTCATGAGGAATGGAGGTGAGCGGATGTGATTCCACATCTGTCCAGACTGGAAGGCGAGGACAAAGGCCTGAAATTTTTGATGTCGTTATATTGTAGTAGGTTTGAGATGCAAAAAATGAAAAAAATATCGCAAAATATCAGTAATTTAATTACAGGTATAGCAAGCAATTTTTTGTTTACTGAATAATTCATATTTCCAGTTGTCTTTCTTTTCTCTTCTGTGCCTAAATTTCAACAAGAACAATAAAAATAACTCACCACACAAACAAATCCCCAGAAGTTGGACGAATACAAGAAGTCCATGCTGTCTCTTCGCATGTACAACATTCCCAAGATCAACATGACCAAGAGAACAATCACAATTGGACCAGCGTAATTCGGTGGGCGCATTACTCGGATCTAAAATTTAAGTTTTATCAAAATGGTTGGAGAAAGACAAAACTAAATTTAAAATAAATCTCACATTAACATCAGTGCGCTCTTGAATAAACTTAGCAATGGCTTCGGCACCAAATCCAGATCTTTGGAAGTCCATCTGATCAGGTTTCTTGTTGGTGGTTCTGGCTGGGAAGTGGAAGATGACTGGAGCAGTGTTCAAATTGAGCTAAAACAATCCATATTTTACCCTTCGACACCTAATTAATAAGTTGACAGACAGGTTTCAATGCGTTTTTGGAAATCTGATGTCTAGTACAATATAATTTTTAAACATGTGGACTGAAAATTAAATTAAAATCAGCGAGAAAAGCAGAGTCCAGTAATTCTGGAAACACCTTGGATGAAATTACAGCTCTCAGTTTTTTGGATCCTATCAACAGACCTCATGAATAACATATTTCTTTTGTAGAACTTAAAACTGCGGGTACTTTTACTACAAAAGCAAATATAGAGCATAAACTTGCTATACGTCAACTGTTCCTTGCAAAATCCCCACAAAAACCTTTCATTAGGACCTAAAAACCAAGGACATCAAGTACAACATAACCCACCTGTTGGAAAGCCTGTGGATTGTCTCCATAGTCCACAACCGCGAAATACAAGTTCTTGGCGTGCAAGTAGGAGTATCGATAAGAATTGGCGACAATTGTGAACTCCTCATGGGCTGGTTTGCAAATCGCGCACTGGAAATCCGAGCCCATAGCCGTGAACATCACAATCATACTGTAATTTCTCGGTTGTGACCGAACCAATTGACGCCATTTGTCGTTGTTCAGGTTGATGAAAGGTCTCTTCAGCAGCGAGTCTTGGAGGATCTTCACTTTCTCTTCCAACGACCTGGTTTGAGCCGAGATTTGCGGCAAAATCAGGGAAAAAAGAGCCAACAATCCGAGGAAAACCCGCATTTTCCCTGAAAATATTCGATATAACATATCAAAACTATAATATTCTGACGTGTAACAGTCCAATACAATTTTAGAAACCTATTTCGATCCAAAAATCACGATAATTACACGTTTAGATGGCCAAAAGCCGGGAAATTTGCGAGTGAGACACGTCGAAAAAAATTTACAAAAATGCCATTTGAATTTGGCGGGCAAATGTTTTCGTGGTGGGAGAAAATCGTGAATTACGTGAATGTGGAATTTGACATTATTTTATGTAAAAAGATAGAAGAGGGTGTAAAATACGTCAGGGTGTCTTTGTAAAATATTTTTATCCATTTTCGAAGTAAACTTTGATTTTTTTGGTCCAATTGAGCATGGATAATATAATTTTTTTCAAACTCAATCCTGCAAATATTTTCGTTGTGATAGCGAGAAGATGCCGTATGTTTGCTAATCATCAAAAAAGACGATCTTGACTTACACAGTTTTAATCCCCACAAATAATCTGAACCTTTGATCAAAGCCCACCTTTTTGTAAACTCCCCCCGAAAAGACTGCCCATTTGTAAATGAGATCGCAACCATAACATTGCTTCTTCTTTTTGTTTATTTTCTCAAAGGTCTAAGATTGTTTTATCAATGTTTAGTCCAGGTGGGAGCCAGCTTTTGACTTTTAAAAATCAAAAACATTATTTTAGCCTCATCTGATCGGAAGATTGATGTTCATGCGCATGTTTTGCCCAGTGAGATTCCAGATTTCTCCAAGGTGAGTAGTCTCTGATATTTCCAGTATCTTGCTGATTTAGCAATTTGGCTATCCCGGGTTTCTGAGCCTGCAAAAGAGCGGAGATCCGGATGGAAAGGCGAACATGATGAAAGATGGAAAACTTTTCCGAGTTGTGACCAAAAACTGTTACGATGTGGATGAAAGAGTTCGGGAGATGGACAAGTGTCATGTGAATGTCCAAGCAATATCAACAGTTCCGGTCATGTTCAATTATTGGGTGAGAGTTTGATCAAATTATATTATACATGATTAGATATACATACATGGCAAGTCTTTGGGCTTGAATATCTCAAGTCTAAGTAGTAGTATTGCTCTGAAATTTTTAACAGTTTAACTAGAAAGACGTTGTAATCATCACGAAAAATTTTGGCCTCATTCTTAAAGGCGCAGCTGAGATATAGCTAGTTGAACCAAAGCCTCTCAGTAAATAATGTTTACCAAAATTTTCAGGCCAAACCCGAAGACAATGAGATTGTAGCCCGTTTTCTCAACGACGATATCACTTCTCAATGCCAGAAATACCCTGATCGACTAGTTCCAATGTCAACTTTACCTCTTCAAAACATGGACTTGGCGATAAAGGTAGGATAACATAACAAAATTGATTATTTCAAAGTAAAATTTATTATTTCCAACAAAAATTGAGACTTTTCAAATTGAATTAGGAAGGTTACAATGAGATTTGAGTTGAAAATCGATTGAAAATTACGAGTAGTATCAAAAAACATGAGAAATCAGTGAATATTTACTAAAAATTGAGCGAATCATCGAGTTTATAAAGAAAAAAAGTGGAAATTTGAGATTTCTGGATTGTAAAAGATTTTCTACTGAAGTTACACTGCTATTTTCGAGTTTTACAGTTTGAAAAAATATCGAAAATTTGAAAAAAAAATAAAAATTTTTGGATGAAAAATCTGAAAAAATCGCAATTTTTGATGATTTTTCGGTTTTTGATTAAAAATGAAGGCGTAAAGATTGACATAGTAATGTAAAATTACTTTCAAACTCCTTTTCACAATCAAAAAACCCCAAAAAAGCTACTGATAAGCGAAGAAATTTGAGAACAAAGGGATAGAAAAGCGAGTAGAAGATAGGCCTAGAACCACCGAAAAATGGACAGAACGGGAAATGTGGAAATGGGAAAAAACGTTGCGTTGAGGTACCATCAGTAGGTGCAGATCCTCAAGAAGGACTTGAGTGGGTTCTCCGCGGCGGCGCACGGTCTGAAAAGTTGGCAATTGGCAAAAAAAAGTTTTGAGGTTTTTCAGATCCAAGTTGCAAATTATCCTTGTAATCTGGAGGTTAGTTGAACTATCACGACGAGTGTTTGTTAGTGGCGCTCTCAGCTCGCGATGGACGCAAAAACAGAGCAATTGGCGATAGGTTTTGCGGTTTGTGAAAGCATAGGTGTTATAGAATTATGTGAGATATCGGTGAGTATTGAGGTGAAATGACGACTGTTGTAGTTTAATTTGGTTTAAAAAGCCAATGCTATACAGAAAACTTAGAAACAAGCGTATTTCACCTTCAGAATACTAAATTTCTTAAGTGGGAAAAATATCAGTTAAACTCCAAAAATAAGGTGATTTTTGGCCTCCCTAATGTATTCAAAATGACTGTTGGGAAAAAACAGATATTACAAAAAGTCTATTAGGCAGTAATAAATAATTTTATTGCATAGTTTTTGCAGTGAAACGTGATCTATGGCCAGAAAAGTGATGATTCCGCCAAAAAAATCTATTTTTCTTGACGAAAACTTGGCAAATTGCTTGTTCAAAAAGAACTAAAATCCGTGTCAACTATATTATGACACTTGGAATGCCATTATATTAATCAAGAGTTTCAAAAATTTCATAACAATCCTCATTTCCCTCCTCAATACCAAGTGTAATATAAACCACTGCAAGCCTGGCAAACAAAACAATAGGTCAACAGAAAGTGCTTTCAAATACTTTTTAAACAAACTGCTATCAGTTAGTAATCATTAGTAATAAAATTAAATCAATATAATAGCCGAATACTCACTCAACAAGGTAATGATACCAGTAGAACACATTGAACAAAGCGAAGAGGGCCGGGAACAACATGGCCGAGTACTTGTCGATCTTCAGGGCCAATGTGGCCTTCCTCAGTCGCTTCGCACTTGGCGGACTCATTGGCGGCGGGAGCGCCGGGTCCTCGCTGTACATTGAGGTATTCATGAGACCGTCTTGATGGATCCGCTGGCCCTCTCCGTACGCGTTCATGACTCGTTGCTCTAGGGGAGTTGGTGCCGGGAACTGAGAGCCTGGATTATGACAAGCGCAGGGGCCGGCTATGGCGGACATTGCCGACTTCAGATTGCCATTCAGACCATAACCGGGAGGAATGTAGCCGTAGTCGTTGGAATTGTTGAGAAGCTTTTGATGCTCCTCTTCGTTCTCCTTGGAGCGGCTGGTTAGACGGCTGAAAGTTAAGGTTATGGTGTTCGCGGTCACTAATAGTGGCGGACCTGATCCAGTGGCAAAAAACGTGCCATTTTGCATCCGGGAAGTATCAAAAATGTGGCAAAATGCTTCCCTTTCCAAGTGAGAAAACTCTGATTTTAAAAGCGCGCCCGCTTTTTTTGTGAGGCAAACCCTTCAAAACGAAGTTTTTTCACTTGGAGAGGGAAGCATTTTGCCACATTTTTGATGCTTCCCGGATGCAAAATGGTACGTTATTTGCTACTGGATCGGGTCCGTGACTGTAGAAAGCACTTTTTATAAAGAGTTTTTTTTTCAGTTTTTAGGTCGTGCATTGCAGAAGTACCGGAGATTTTTGCGAAAAATCAGTCGTTTATGCAAGGCGCGTGCTAAAAATCCCGCGTATATCTTACAATTAGAAATCCCCTCAAACTCTTACCGTTGCAAAAATCCGCAACTGTTGTTGTCGCTGGCCGTGTATTGCGGTGGTTCGATATGATGTGGCGGCAGAGGTGAGGCCGACTTGATCGGTTTTATGTGAATCGTCGTTGCCGGCGCAGAATCCATCGATTGATTCGAGGGTTTTACCGCCATCGCCGCCGGATTATCCGAGTCCTGCCGACTCAGATAGCCGACCCACGCCAACTCCAAGAGTGAGCAGAAGACGAACGTCATGCATGAGAGAAGCCAGATGTCGATGGCTTTTACGTAACTGACGCGAGGCAAATTTCGGATGATATTTCCGAATTGGAAGGTCATAGCTGAAAAGTGAGGTTATAGGACGTTGTGGTAGTATCTATGGGGTGTTTCGTTGGTTGACTTACCAAGCAATGAATTTACACCCAACATTGTGCGAGCCGGAATGGCATTGGTACCCAGTACAAAAGAGATCCATGCTGAAAAAAGAGGATTTGAAAGTTATAGGTGTGAGATAACAACGGTTGTTTAGCAGTAATCTGTTGTAAAAAAGAGGACCTGCCATAGTGTGACTGTCGGATTTATAAGACATTATCAGCATACTTTGTGTGGGTCATTTCGAAAATCCTGAAGATTTTAGCTCTGTCGAGATATTCAGCGATCTTTTCGAACCAGAGACTGTAAAAAGTGAGGAGAGGTGGTCAGAGAAGACAGATTTTAACTGAAACATCCCTTTTTCTCTGACCGTCTCTCCTCATTTTGCATAGTCTTTTGTCTGAAAAGACCTTGAATATCCCGGCTATGCGTAGCGACACTTGCGGGCATCCACTTTGCGGGCAGCTGACATTTTTTGATTAAAATTACGATTTCCCTTTCGTAATCTACGTAGTATGATGGAAATTTTACATTGGCGACTCCCCAATATTGATGAGTACACAGATCTATTAAATTTTTCCACTGCTTTCAAAGTTATGGCAGTTTGTTTTCAAAAAATGGTAAAACTACCCGGATAAGCCTATGGTAACTAACTATTCAAGCCACTTATGCACCTAGAAACTTAATCCGCAACATCTAGCTGCGAAGTTGATCGATTGAATTTCCAGCTGTAAGCAAATGTTGGCTGATTTCAAAACAGGCCTGCAGAATCTCCGTGGTTTTTCAAGGTGCCCGCAAAGTGGTTGCCCGCAAGCGTGGGCCTGCCGCTACGGGCGAGCTGCAATTTTTAGGGCTTGATTTTTGGCCCCTGACTACTGGAAGCACATAGACGGGCCCTACCAAATTAATGTTTAAAATACGCAGTAGCACATAACGCGAGGACTTACAGATAAAAATAGTGAGGTAGGTGGGGAGATAAGCTTGTAGAATATACCATCCGGCCCTTCGTTTGAAATGAAACATCATCGTGAGCTCGTGCCATTGACCCGCGGGATATGGGACCTCATGTCGGACGTTGTCGATGCGGTCCAATTCGTAATCGGCCAGCTCCATTTTCTCTCGCATTGGCGCCACTCCCAACGGCGACCAATTCATCTCCACTTCAGCGATGTTGTAACTGGAAATAATAGCAATGATTACTGTAATGCTGATAACAAAATATTTGTAAAAATAGTGGGGCCTTACTTGAAGCTCTCAAAAGTCAAAGTGCAGGTGACATTATCGAAGGGAAAACGGGTTAGATCCATTCCACATGGCCCTTGAAGTTTCAACCGGTAATTTGTCCAGACTGCAAGTAAAAATAGTTGTATAAAAACATAGTAAATAGTTTCTAATTTCGCATAGAAGGACATATTAGACTTTTCATGATACAAGAATTGAACTTGCAAGTGATTTTTGAAATCTCCGAAAATTTCCAGAAAATCCGTCATGATGACTTCTCTTGAAACTATAGTGTTGATTGAGCCGGAGGCGAAAATAGACTTTTCAAGCTTAATTACGACCAAGTAAAAATATTACGTGCCGAAATTTTCATATTGCCAAAAATATGTCATCATGACACATTTTATTTGAAGATTTTTAACTCTGATTTTTCAGATTTAAAAACGTCATCATTTGACGCCACAATGATAAACTTGTATCACAATTTAATTTGATCATCCAATGACGACCGAGTTTTTAAAATTTTTTGCAAAAATGTTGAATTTTCCTTTTCCCACGTTCTCTACGACGTCTGATGTGCCTTATATTTGCACAAATTCGCTTATAGTCCTAGTGGCCTCAAAAATTTCCCTCATGACCTCTTCTGCGCGCCGAAGGCGGAAATTGGATTGTTCCGGCGTTTTCCCGTTATAGCGTGATAAAAGTGATGTCGCCGTGTTTTCGTCCGCCTAAATCAAATCCCGATGGAGCCGAGATTCGATTACAGCAGACGGGTTTAGCTTTGATGTGGGATTATAGTCTAGAGTTCGACGAGAGTATAATTGTCGTCCTAGACGTTCATTTCCGGGACTTTTTGAAAAAAAATGATTTGGTGGAAAACGGGACAGAAAAAAGCAAAAAAAAGGCTACAGTAAAAAGAACAGAGGGCGATATTGCAAGCCAGCTCAACTCTAGAAGTCTCTGGGGCAAGGTTTGAGCAAAAAACCGGCTTGTTGCAGAATGCCAAAGGTTTTGAAAGTTGGCGGGAAATTTGAATTTTTGAATTTTAACGTCTTCCTTTTGAAAGTAATAGGCGTTTAGCAGCTTTGGCAGGCTACATACAGCTTTTATTTCTCAAATCAATTGGAAATTTGCATAAAATTTGCATAAAAAAAAAGATTTGCATGTCTTATTTCCTACCTGAGCCATTAGCGTAAATCAGCAGGAAAATGTTGGGAAATGGACTGCGATGGATGTCCGCTGTTTTTGAGTTGATAAAACACGAATTTGGAGTCCATAACTTCTCCAGGAGCACACTGTTCAACGAAAGATTATGTTTACAAGGCTCCATCCAAGAGTAATCCAACGAAGGGTCGTTCCACATCTCACTGATGTAAATGTCTAGCTGAAATTTAGGTTTTTTTATTTCATTTCCATCAGGTTGATGACATTTAGCGACTTCACAGTACATATTTTTAAAACCCAAAAATTTTGCTTTGTGCGTAACTTTCAAAGCCCCAATTTCCCACCTGGAAATCGGAAGTGATGTCGCTGATGGTAGTGATCTCCTGGACCCAAACCTCCACCGTTACGCTGACTTTGCCGCCCGGGATTTTGTGCGGGTTGTACTTGTGAAGAATGGTCTCCAAAATGAAGGAATCGTTGGAGCAGTGTTCGGTTCGCGCTGGTGTCGAGCGTTCCACCCGTTTGGCGTCAATAACCGGCCGAAACGTGCCTTGATCATCCACTTCCCAGTCGTATAAACGAGAGAGACGGCGGAGATGACGGGAGTTTCGACGGTAAAAGGCTTTTCTGAAGAGAACAGAATATCAGTAGGGGAAAAAATCGGATGATAAAGAAAGATTAGACCAACAGAGGTCCAATTTATCATCTAGCCTCAGGGAAAATGCCATAGAACCTTGAGAAATCGTCAATTTTTTAAAAATTTGATCGAATTTTACGATTTTTTAATTTTCTCTCATGTTTCGTGCACTTTAGAGGCTTTTTGGGGACTTTCCAGGAAGTACGTGAATTGGTTACTCTTTAAGAATTTGTAACAAAGCTAATTTTGGTATTTAAGGAAATGTTTTTTGGTTTTTGCGGATGTCGAGGTCAAAAAAGTTCTCTAGGGCGTATTCTGGGCAAAGTACTGGTGAATAAGTTAGAGTCTAGGCATTTTTCGAAACTAAAAATCACTTATTACCAGAGGAAATACATAATAATGACGTTTGATGACAAAAAAATGAAAAAAAATGAAGATTTATGTGGGAAAGAATGACTAAAACAAGGTCTAAATGGCTTTAATAAAGAGAAAACCCTGTTTAACCAACACCAAAATCCACGACTCACCGTCCGGCCGCGCCTTCGACCATCAAAAGGCAGAACAACATGAACAAGATCCATTTGTACGCGCTTCCACTCCAAATCCGATGCGGTTTCGGGTCGAAGCGGGCGTCCTGAGCGTCGGGGACCCGTGGGAGGGGTGGTCGTGGACGGGAAGTCGACGACTGGGCACACCTCTGCCAGTCCATCCATGAGCGGCGGGCTGAGGCGTGCGGGAAAATTACAGTAAGCCGGGAGGGGGTTCTATTGGACGGGGAATGAGGGTCGGCCCAATTTTCCGCTGAAAATTTCACAGTAATTACATTGAAAGCGGAGTGAAATGAATAAAATTGGTGGAGTGGCAGCGTTTTTTTGGTCGTTCCGAAAACGACCTTGCGTGCTTACACCCAAAAAGGTTGTAAATGCCCCCGTTAATTTCCATAAATTCCGATGAAAATATTAGTGGAATGCGAGGTAATCTTGTTTTTACGTGAATTCGCTGCTAATTACGGTCGTTTCAGAGTCTGGCGGAGACTCCGACCACCGTGAGGTCAAAAATGTGACTTCTAAACAAATTTTGTCGGGTTTTCATATTAGACTTGCCATGTGTAATATAAAAATGTCAAGCGATGAAAGGTGACGTAAAAAAATTTCATAGCACAAAGAATATAATTTTCGTATTTTACAATTTTTTTGGTGATTTTTCCTTATTTTAGCCCTTTAAAACAGAATGCCAAGATTTTGAAAAAAATGGCGGGAAATTTGAATTTTTTAAAATTTAGAATATTTTTTATAGGACATTCGTATTTTACAACTTTTTAGGTAATTTTTATCTATTTTAGGCCTTTAAAACAGAATGCCAAGATCTTGAAAAAATGGCGGGAGATTTGAATTTTTTAAAGTCTTTAGTATTTTTTGAGGATTAAAATGGCATATAAAGTATTTTTTGAGACTACTGCTAGGATAAGAGTGTCAGATTTTTTACCGAAAACATAGGTACTATCTGTTACCTAAAGTAATATAAAATAAATTTTCCTTTACCCGTATTTTACAAAAATCTTTGCAAAACAGTAAAAACAGAACTTACCACATTTACGACTCCAAACTCTTCTTCCAAACTGGCTTACAACCTCTTCTTCGGTCCATTTCGCCCGAGGCTAAACAGTCGAAATCCCAACTTGACCGACTTTCAAAATCTTCGAATTTCTGGCCAAAGATTTCTTCCAAAATGCGATAAAGAACTGTTTTATATCCCAACTAGTCGGTTAAACTTCTTTGTTGGGGGAAATTCGGCCGAAGTTTAGGGGGTTCGGCCGCTTTTTTTTGGTGGAGAACTTTTTTGGGTAGATGGATGAATATTGCCGTCAAGTTGTTGGGATATAAAAATAGGACTTGCGGATGAAGTTGAAAGGCTTTTAGAATGTTTGAAGGGGTTGAGCGGCGAAGGCGGTGATTGGTCGAAGCGACTTGAGCGATTGAGGGAAGATCCTGGAAGATTGGGGAAATAGGAGATCATTATGCCGATTTTCAATGGTTTCGCGCGGTAAGTAAGAGATTATTACACGAAATGAAATAAAATACGGTGATAAATCACCAAATATTTTTGTAAAATACCCCAAAACCCAGGTTTTCTATACAAAAAAAATCATCGAGATCTGCTAAAAATAAGGTTGGTGCTTAAAATTTGATGACTAAATAAAGGATTCCAATTTATCTTAGAGTGAACACTGAAATCTTAGGGAACCAGTATTAATAATAATGCAAAATTTTACCCGGAAATACCTGTCTGACCCCAATAAAGATCAAACATCCCATATATGTAGATGACTAAAATATTGTAAAACCAGTAGTTTTATATCACTTCCTATAGTTATCATTCTTTATTTTATGACTACTATGGGCGATAATCTTTGTAATACCAAATAATGTCTGTCTGACCACAAAAGCTGTTGGAAAATAGAGAAAAATATATTACACTACCCTGAGATGACTAAATAAGGAAAATTGGATATTTTTAAAGATTTTCTTGATTTTTTGGCATATAAAACTGCTTTTTATCCTATTTCAAGCTCTGAAAATTATACTCAAGCTCCAAGACGCGAGTAATATTCAAAAAGACAGAGATTTACCTTAATTTAGATGTAATTTCCTCTGATTATCTCTAAATTTAGTCCAGTCTCTTACCCCAACTCCCGAAACCGAAATAACCCCAACAATAAGTCACACGCAATTCCACGTCTCCCAGCGATATCACACACCGGCTCCTAATCCCACAGAAACCAAGAAAGCGGCAAAAATAACAACAAGAAAACAATGCGCTTCATAATTCGTGGGGCCGGCGGGGAAACGGAGCCGCGGCCCAGAACGCGGCCGGTCCAATTAAAATTTTATCTCGGAGAACATTATTTATGGATCCGCCGTAATGTCCGGAGGGAGACGATTACGGAAACGGCGAGCCATGTCATGAGGTAATTGTGTAGTTTATGATATATGGTGATGTAATTTTTTAAAAATTTTGAGGAAATGAGGGGATACAGGAGAAAAGGGAGGAGGGATAGGGTTTCATGACAGTCTGATTGGTCTATATAGCTGTTCAGAAAGTCTGTAGGACTTTGTAGTTTAGTTATCGAAACAAAAAAGGTCATTAAGCTAGTATGTGCAATATAAAGTTCATAGCAAGTAGTTGAAATAATCTTTTCTATGAGAAACATGTTCAAGATTAAGAGTAAAGCATCGTGCAACAAAACACTCGGTTTTTAGGTCGCGCTATACAAGGCTCTCCGGGAAAATACAACCCCTTTGCCCTCACGAGTCCCTAGTCGGCCATATCTAGAACTTTGATCCGAAAACCGTTTTTTACGCTCGACTCTTCTCCTTTTTGCACTTTGAAAAGATTGTCGAACATCCGGAATGCGTCTGCAAATCACGTGCTAAAGCTTTCAGCGATTTCTATATGACCTTTTTACAGTAGATGACCAAAATTTGAAGAGAATCGAAGAGTCACACTTCTGGTGCCGCACCTGTAAACAAAAGTCCGCCAAAACCTCCATTCTTTACCCCCCTCTCCCTCCTACCTCCGTCGGACCCGGAATCGGCGGTTATTGAACCCTCCAACCAATACATGTCATCCCTTGTTCCGCTATCTCCACGAGTAAGTATGATATAAAAAAGTGAAAGGGAATGTCAAGGCCCCCAAAAATAAATACCAAAAACACGCGAAATCGGATCCCCGGCTTCGAAGCAAAGTTCTCATGGACGGAGTAGGTATATAACTGGGTGGAAAAGAGGAGGAAATGAGCGAATAGGGCCATGTAAGTGTATAGGACGGGTAGCAGATTCTCGGGAAATCCCAAAAATGAGGTGTTTGGAGAAAAAAGAGGGTAAAATACGGGCTGCTATTTGAGCGTTGGATTTTTAAAAATTTTAAAAAATCATAAATTTGTGGGCAATGTTATAGAAAAACGGAAAATAATGTTAGTACGTTTTTCTCTATAAACGGAAACACTGCAAACGGGAGTTCTCACAGACAGTTGAACGCTCAGATTGTGGTTTATGATTAGAGATTCACAAAATTTGCAGCTCGTGCTTCAGGCGAAGAGTTCGGCCCTCAGATTTTAATAAAACTGCGAATTTTACAATATTTTTTTTTGTAGGGCCTATGCGAGACTTCTATCTTGGGGCTTCCAGAAACGACCGAGATTTTTGGGTCAAAAGTTGACAAGAATTTGGCATTTTTTGCAATTTTTTGGCATGAAAGTGTCATACTTATCTCCCCTATAGAGGACAATGTTTTTACAAAAAATCAATTTTTCCGCAAACCCGGCAAAATTTTTGCGTGCTCTATCGTACAAATTTTGTCAAGAAAGATTGTTGAATATCTCGGCTGCGATTGCAAAGTGCATGCTAAAGTTTGTAGGGATAAATATGTGGTCTATGCCCAAAGTGTATCAAAAATTTAAAGCAGATCTGAGCATTGCACTTGGGGGTACTTTCCAGTCATCAATTTTGAGGTAAAAAAAGTTTCCTGTCTGACCACCGCTGCTTGGTCTCTGCGGTCTCTTCTTCTGATACTTTAATACGCCTAGCTTGGTCGCCAAAAGAATATTTTGAGGGGCGATGCTCAGATCTTTCTTAAATTTCGCGCGATGGGTGATCTGTTGAGGGCAGATAGATACTATACCTTTTTCTCCCCTAAACACCAAAACTGCTCGCCTTCTGACCTCTCAGATCCCTCACCTGAGCCGTCAGTTCCTTCCTCCTCCAGCTACTCGAATATGCTCCTACATTAACCCCGAGGGCCTTTTGTAGGAAGCTGAGATTGTCTCAAAGAACCAAGAAAATAAATGACTTTTGCGAACTCGAAGGGATTCTAGAACAAAAAAACAGTTTGAAACTTTCTTCGGCCGGCACAAGGCCTATTGTTCGATAAACGTCAAAGGAAAAGAAAAAGGTTGTAAAAACAGCGATTAGTGCGTTCGAAGAAGGGGCGGAGATTGGGAAAGTCTGGAGGGGAAAAGGTGACGAAATAAAAAAAGAGGAAAAGTCATAAACTTGCGGAAGCTTCATTGATTAAATTTTGGTCTACAGAAAAAATAGGGAAGTACCAAGCATGACTTTTGATTTCCTCTTAATTCGGCGTCCATACTGGCCCGTTCGCAAAGTCGCTGGAGTGATTTTTGCGATATATACTGAGTAAAAAAGCAAGGCTGCAAGCGACACTTCTTTTTTTGACAGACTGATACCGACAGATACTTAGAAAGAGACACTTGACTCATTTAGGAACGCTTAGCTCAATGGGTCATGTGTTTCTCTCAATAGTTGTTGCACAATGTTGGTGCTTTCGCAAAGTCGCTGGAGCGATTTTTTCGACATGCAATGTGCAAAAAAATTCAGCGTGAAAGCGACGCCCGAAAAACGCCTATTGCACGGTGCAAAAAACAAGAAATTGAGCAAAAAAAAGATGCAAGGTGCACTTTTTTTTCTCACAGTGCGTGTTGCAAAAGTTACTCCAGCGACTTTACAAACCGACTAGTACCCTATATAGCCCACACACAAGAAGTTTCGGGTTGTGGTCTGCACTTGCATCTAAAATTTTCAACGATCTTTTTGGGAGAGAGTATAAAGAATGAGAAGAGTCGGTCAGACAAAAAAACATTTTTGGCTATAACTTTCGGAACTATCCTTAGGAACAATTTGCTCTCCCTAAAATTTATTGCCTAGCTCCAGGGCATAGTAATCATATTTTAAAAACAAAAAAAAGTATTACTGTAGGCACGCCTCTTCTCTGAAACGTTCCTAAACATGGGCTAAAATTGCAAATCCCCCGATTCTCTGACGCCATAAAGCGTATCACATGATCCCGAGAGTATACGTACCAAGCATGTGCGTACCTTGACCACCACTTTACTGCAAAAAGCGCCGAGAATTGGCGGAGTGAACGCGGTAATCGCGGCTTTGCGGGCGCCTCCAAAGAACGGCGGTTCCTCGACAGCCCCGAATTTTCATGTCATATCCGATAACCGAAGGCCCCCCCAGCCCGTTGTAGTAGCATACCACAGATACGACGGCACTGACCTCCGGCGGAATGTTTGGCCAATCTTTTGTGGAGCGTCTTTCTCCACTGCCTGCCCTTCTTTCGCTGCTTGCGGCCCCACCCGAAAAAATCGCACTGAATGCCTCGGGGGAATTGCGCGTCTTTCTTTTCGTTTTGGGGAAGGGCAAAAGCCACAAAACGACGGCACACGGACGCCCTGCGGGCTATTCGTAACGCCGCCAAATCCCGTCAGCCACATAACAAAAAAGAGTTAAAAACGGATGAGAAGACGAACTTGGAGCGGGATTTCTCCCCACACACACAAGTCGGGATTGGCGTCGATCGGGGCGAGCGTGACGACAACGGATGTCTGGCCCTGTTTTGGTGAAAAATTTTGTAGCCTAAGGGCGTGACAATCGGAGGAATTGAACCCACGCGTTCGGGAAGCCGCGCAAATACGGTACTGTGGGGAAACCAATATTTTGGTGATTTTTTGGATTTTAATTTACAGAAATCGCTTTTTTACGACTCTTTGAGAATCCTAACTCTCCTAGGATTTATATAGTAAGACTTCTAAAAAACCTCTTGATCAAGTTCCTTCAAAAAATCATCAAAAATCAAGTGGAATTTTCATAAAAATCTCAATTTTCTGAACTACCTACTTCCGTAAAAAGCTAAAAAAAAATGAATCGCCAGAAATCAACAACACAATACAAAGTTATGCGCACAAAATTAGTCCTCAAATTTGCATAAAAGATCAACAATGTAAACCACAAAATTCTCCAAAAAATTCAGAAGCTCCCCAAATATAGCCCTTGCTAAAAGTCCACGTTTCCCTCGAGCACGCTCCAATCTGTTTCCATTGACCTCCGAAAATCATATTTTCCGTCAATTCAATTATATTGCACATCATTCGGAAGGCGATAAAATGATTACCATCCAAAAAATCTTGAAAAATCCTGATCCAAACTTGAATTTTGAGTGATTTAGAACACAACGTATTTTACCACAGCCCTCTCTCTGCCAAAATTCGCAATAAATTCTTGGCCGAATGGATTCGGAAACCCGGCAATTTCGCCGCCCATCAAAGTATGAAGCCAACTTTTCATGGGGCCGAAGCCGTCTTCTGAATCCGCTCCTTTCACCGCGCGCTTTCGCACTCGTCATGCTGTAGCCGACGTGCGCTATTAAAAATGTTGATAAAATCGGTGGGAAATGAGTGATGGAACGGAAGGGATTCTTCCAAATTTTCATGTAGATTGAGAAGATATAAATGGGGATTTGGTTGAGGTTCCGCTTTTGACAAGTGAAGGGTATTTTTATAGACAGTCTGCAAATGTCCAAAGGCTAATTTCAAGACATCAAAGGTCAGGGAAATAAATAAAATTTGTTGAGAAAAATTGTTGCCCATACGAAACAAGTAGGTCAAGAATAAGATTATTGAGCCTACTGAGACTCGACGTGACTTTTATGAGCTTCACAGACAAAAAAGACGTACTATAATTGCTTGCTGAGTGTTTGAAAAGTGCAATGTAGGAATGCCGTTGGCTGGGCATCAAAATATTAACTATGTCAATCAGATGGGCCAAGGTCAATATGATCAAATTTTTTGACATTTTAACACTAAAAAATACAGAGTTCTGATTGAATTTCGGATTTTACAGATCTTGTAAGTCATTATGTAATTGCAAATACTTCAAAAAAAGCCGATGTTCTACCAGAAAAACAGTAAAATATTTTCCATGATGATCAAAATTCTAGAGTAGAAAATGATGACGTCATTTTCAAGTTTTTCTAGGTGCGAAGCTCGTGTAAAGGCCTTAGCATAAGTTCAAATATATTGAACGTTCAACAAGTCCAACTGTTTGAGAATCTGCACGTCATATCGGTTCTAATCTATGATGAATGTTGACATTTCACTTTTTGTTTTTCGGATGTCATATCAATTCAAAAATCTCTGTGTCATTGAAACAATAGACAAAATTCATTGAGGCATGGCTAAAAGTGGCTAGTGCTAGAGCCGTTAGAAAATTGAAAGTAAATTCTTTGAATGATGACAGTATGAAAATTTGGACATGATGATGTAAAGATAGCAGTGATCAAAATGGCAAGAAGTAAAGCTTAACAATTTAATCTTGATTTTTGAAAGTCCCTGCTTGCTAAAACAGCCTAAAAACGGTATTAAAAACGTTTATGAATGCTGCGAGACAATACGCTATCCCTATGAAGTCATCTTCTTCCAAGACAAAAGAAAAGTTGTTTGGTCTCTTACGATTTGTCATGCAGAACGTAAATCTATCTTACTCACTGGCAATTTTCAAAAATTTTTGATTGGGACCTGCAAACTCTGTTCCCAGTGCCCCACTTGCTCATCGTGATCACCGCCGTCCCAGCTGGTCCGCCTGCAGCCGACAAATTTTGCATAAAAACGCGCGCGGCCGAGAACAAAACCCCCCGCAGCGCCGGCATTACAACCCCGCCGGCAAAATATAGGGTGAATCGAACGAAAAAAAGCGAGTCGACTTTTTGTGCCGGCTTCGACTTGCACCTTATTGTCTTTTGGCTTCTTTTTTCATCATTTTTTTTGTGGGGTGGGCCGGAATCCCCTCGCTCCAGCAGAGACTCCCCAATTCCTTCGTCTTTAAACCCAAAAGTTTGGACACCGGTTTAGGGTTAAGGGGCCGTGCCATTCGAAAAATTCGTCGACCGCCCTAATTAGGGAAATGGAAACATGGGTTGGGTGAGGGAGATGACATGAGAAGAGTGGCGTTGCGACGAAGATTGTGGAATATTTGAATAATTGAGCTATTCAGCCTCCTTAAATGGGCAAAGTAGAGGAAACAATGTAACACTAACACTTTGAAGATAAAAAAATTCAAATAACAATTCAAGCAGCAATTCCATCCCACTGAGTATAGCGAACAGGCCCCAGGCCATATTGTAATATTCCCATCGGACTCATAACGGATTCCAGTACACCTACACTCAAGGTAAACAAGTCGAAGTGAAGAAGGTTCAGACCCAAATTTGACAAGAAATATGAGAGGATACTTCTGTAAAATGAGATGTTTTGGTATTTTGAAAGCCTGCTTGGGAAGGTTCAAGACCCGACATTGTGACTTGAGGTCACAAAAATGGCAAGTCACACAAAAACGACCACAAAGATGTGTATTGCACAAAAAAATTTTCTGGATGTTGCTTGAAGTGCAACGTTCACAGTTTCTTCAAATTTTTCCTACATGCTTTATATAGGATGGACAGAGAGATATGAAAATTTTAGCTGCCGCTTTGCAGGCGTTTCCGAAATATTCCAGAATCTTTGCTGGCTGAAAGATTACTCTATAAAATGACATGATGATTTTGAATTTCAAATACAGTGATTGACCTGATGCAGTGGCAAAAAGTGTGCCATTTTGGATGCGGGAAGCATCAAAAATGTGGCAAAATGCTTCCCAATCCAAGTAAAAAAATCGATTTCGAAAGCCCCCCTCGACTGTTTTTTTGGCCAAAAAATCTCAATGATTTTTACAACGGACGAGCTAGAAATCTCGCGTATTCCTTAAAAAATCTTAATCCAACTTTTCACCAAGTTTCATCAAAATCTAAATTCATTTTTTCAGACCCAAATAAATTAAAATTTAATGTGAAATAATTTCAAAAATGTCCTTAAGACTCCTCAAGCTCCCTCAGCCCAGTTATGACCCCAAGACCAGCTCTAAAATCTTTCAAATTCCCCGTCGACCTCAAAGAATCCCGAACTAATTGGCCAAATTTTAGGAACTGCGCCGCTGCGTTGCCGAACTCGGTCACACCGCCATCGAGATTGGGTCTCACTTGGAGGAGCGCAATCTGGATGACCCCTATTTCTGGCCACTCTACAACGAATGCCAGAGCTTGAATGTTTGCATCTTCGTGCACCCGTGGGACATGGACGATTGGCATGGGAGAATGAAAAAGTTTTGGCTACCCTGGCTGGTTGGTGAGTGATTTGGGGGAGGGGAAAGTAAAAGTCAAATCTCTATAAAACAAATTTTCAAAAATCTACAGAAACTCCGCTTAAAATTCAATAAAAAAAATCAAAAATAGACGGCCATGTGGCCCGCTAATCCACTTGAGGCGTCCAGACCAACACGGATGTTTTTTATTGGTTATGCAAATTAGTTTTGGAGGAAGGTCAGGAAGTGAACCGCGATGACATCCTCAAGGGAACATGGGCGCCGATTGACTATTTTTGGAAGGAAATGTTGCTGAATTTTCCGTGATTTTAAGGACGAAACTTTCGGCCGAATAAGAATGCATGTTTTTTGGTATGAATAAGAATTGGTCATTCTTTCTGGTTGAAAATACAAAACGCCTCCGTAAAGAGACCGCCAGATGGAACAAAAGTTTTAGCTACAGAGAAGAGGTGAGCTGACAAGGGAAGGAACCGCGACTCTCAAGTTCTATAAGGTGACCCAAAAAAATGGAAACATTTTTCCATAGGTCCTGCCGCGAAAACCTTGAGGTGTAGCCAATTAATTTTTTCACCAGTAAATTCTGAGTATTTCTCTGCCATAGGCGTTTTATTTTACATTAACTGAAACATAGCTATAAATATGAGTTTCCATTTTTTGGGCCACCCTGTATTTAGTGATTACACACGTCGGGCCCATATCAATTCGTCACAGTTGTAGCTGCCGGTTTGCAGGTGCCACCAAGATCTCGAACGATCGTTGCGGTCGAGAGAGTACGCAAAAGGCGGAGAGCGGTCACAGAGAAAAAACTTCTAGGCTATAAAATTGGTGCGAAAAAAATGTTTTTTTGTCAAGATATTACACTTTATAGTAGACATATGCATGAAACTCGTTTTCGCAAAGCGCCAGCTGGAGTCTCTTATATACGTATACATTCCCTGTAGACATGTATATGTAGACATGTATATGTCTACATGGAAAAACCTTATCGCACTTTGCGCCAGGTTTCATCAAAATCTAAGCGTTTCACTTGCAGTCCTTTCCCTGTAAATCTGATGCTCTAAATATTACCCGCGCTTTGTAAAAAAAGTAATACATCAATTGAAAAAGATCTTTGTAAAACATTCACTGGAACACCTGAAACATTCAAGGATCTTGCGGCGAGAGGGTTTGTAAAATATCGAATGCTGAAGATAAAACCAACTTGGTGTTCTTTTATACCCTTCCAATCACGCGGACAAGGTAAATCCAGCCCATATTTACATTGTATTTGAATTTCAAAAAAAAACATTTTCCAAGAAGGCCCGAAAATCTGGAGAGGTCTCTTTGCAAATCCGTTGCAACAAGATTAAAGAAGAATATCCATTTCCAAGTTTGCAGACAGAAGGAACTCTTGAGAGTTCGGTCTCGGACATCCGAAGCAAGCAACCCTTTAAAACTCAAACTTTAGACACATCAGCTTCTACAAACTCAGCCTTCTGACCCCCCTCGACTTTCAGGGATGCCATCCGAGACGGCGCAGGCCATTTGCAGCGTGCTGATGGGCGGTGTTTTGGAGAGATTCCCGCGTCTCCGGATCTGCTTTGCTCACGGCGGCGGGGCCTATCCGCAGATCGCGGGTCGGGTTTCGCACGGGTTCCGTGTGCGGCCCGACATTTGTGCAACGGACACGTCGACAAATCCAAGCCACTTTCATGGAAAGTTTTACACCGACTCGTTGGTTCATGATGTGAATGCGTTGAGTTTACTGTCGTCGGTGGTTGGCTGGGACAAGATTTGTCTGGGCACGGATTATCCATTTCCATTGGGTGAATTGGAGCCCGGCAGGATTGTGAGAGAAATTGATGATGAAAAAAAGGTAAATCAATTTGAATATCGGTCTGTCGGGAAAATAGTGAGAACTCTGTCGCGTCGAAATCGCATCGAAAATGAATTGTGTCGCAACAAAATCAAAATTTTTTTTTTACACTTCAGCGAAGCGATTGACCAAGCGACATTGCGCTCATTATTTTCCCGACAGACTGGTGATACGAGAAATTCCAATCAAATCAGTGGTATAGACTATAAAACAATAGTATTTTAAGACTATGACGAGCCATTGTTTGTTAAAAATAGCCAGCCATCAACTGTTTTGTTTGTCTTGTCACGCAGTCATTTGAATTTTTTTTGACTAGTATTTGAACTGATCTTATGGGTTGAGAGGTTTACGCCCTCTGGATTACGAAGAATTGACTTGTTTGTGAGCTGATTCTGCAAAGAAACTCAGAAAATTTTTTATGGTATTTTAGCAGTGTAGTGTCTACAGACACAAAATTCAAAATGGGAAAAAAATAAGATTGATTTAAAATACGATTGGGTTAATTTTGTCATCTTTTTACATATATGTGTAATTGCAAAAAAATTTAATTTTTCAGAACAAGGTTCTCTGGTCGAACCCAATTGAAATGCTCAATTTGAAAGAGGAAAATTTGTACTCGAAGACATTCTAACAACCACATACCAACATAATCTTCATTCTGACAATGAAATTATTAAATAAATAAATACAGCTTTCACTTTGCAGTATTTTACACCTCTTTACCACCTTCAAATCGAAAGGCATGCCAAAAAATTTTTTATTTACTCATAACACCTGATGAGTCGATGTTTTTGGAAATGGCGGCCAAACCAGCTGGTCCTGGGCAAATAGGACCAGGTGAAGGTCAAACAAAAATAGGTTATATAATACGGCTGGTCAATAAATAATCGGAATATTTACTTATAAAATAGGTGCTTTCAGACCGTTGTGCATAACAACGCAGTTTGCCAGATTGTGATGAAAACTGGTGCTAATTACCATCTAAGCCAATGCGAAATTTTCAGCGCATGCTAGTCAAAAGCGAACTAGATACCTGCGAAAAAAGTAGACACTCTTTGATCGTCGGAAATATCGTTTAATTTAATATATGTAATATCTTGGCGTTGCTCTGCATGATTCAAGCCCATATTTTCGTAGATTGAAATGTGGCCTACAGTGGCGGACTTGATCTATTGGCAAAAAACATACCGTTTTGCATCCGGGAAGTATCAAAAATGCAGCAAAATACCTCCCTCTGCAAGTGAAAAACTCCGATTTCAAAAACGCGCCCTCTGTTTTGTGAGGGAAAGGGCGCGCATTTCAAAACGGAGTATTTTAGTTGTGTAGGGAGGTATTTTGCCACATTTTTGATACTTCCCGGATGCCAGAATAATACGTTTTTTGCCATTAGATCAGGTCCCACAGTAGCTAGCGCAAGCATGCAAAAATTGACAACATTCTAAACTGGGGGTACCTATGATAAAACGTTTGCAGGCCATACTCCTCATTCCTCAACGAAGTCGACCGCAACAGTGCAACCCTTTGCTCATCCGCCCTGCGGCCATTCGAGCTGTTTATTTACTCACCCACGACTGATCCGTGTCGTGTTCGTCGTACTTTTGCAAAACCACTTCGTTTTCCCCAACCAGCAGGCCCTCGTTATATTTGCGTACCGCAGCGTTCTTGCCGAGCCTATATTTCCAGCTTTGTTGACCTGAGGTCATTAAGTGAGGAGTGCTGGTCACGACCATCGCGATTCACGCCCTCCACTCGGCCTTGATGAAGTGAAAGTGACGAGAGCATGCGCTTAGAACAATGGGGACAATGGGAGGAGTTTTTTGTTTGCCCAACACCGTCCCCCGCTCCGCGAAAAAAGTGACCCACAGGCGGTGGGGAGCCGCGAGGAGCGCGGAGCTGGGCGTTCTGAATCCTGCAGGGGGCTGACTCTACGACAAGTTGGGGAGGTGCTAGAGTCGCGAGGTCAGGAGGTCGATTTGGGATTTTAGAGGATGGTGGTGTAGTTTTGGACGGACTACATCGTAAGATGGGGTTTTTTTTCTTGATGATTCTAGACTATTTTTTTGATCACCTTAGGGGTTGCGAATACTAGAAAATTGAAATTTCAAAAAAAGTGTCTTAACGATTCTTCAGGGCTATTCGTATAGCCCATTGTAGCGTCAGTCTCGGAACACCACGCAAATGCCCCCTTTTTATATTGGAGCTACCAATTAAGATGTAGTACTAGTCAAATTTGATATTGTAAGGCTTGTCAGGATACCAGGATTTAATTTAGCTTAAAAACAAGCTTCTGATTTGGTAAAAACTTGGTCAAAAAAGGGGCATTTACGTGGCGATGCGAGAAAAGTTCATAGGATTTTTTCACCATTACAAACCGAAATTAGGCAGCTAATTTTTACATATTATGAATCATAAAACGTTTGCGATCTTTTTGATATATGTCTGGACCTGTAACTCCATACCCCTTAGAAGTACTTTCCTTGTAAAGATTTAAACATAATTTTACAGCAAATGAAAAACGGTTAAGTTTCAAAGTAAAGGTCATTTGAATCCGAAATGGCACATAGAGAATTTTGGCGTTATGTAATCAAAATTTCCGAAGTTTCCTGCGATCCTACTAGCCTTAAACTTGTTACTTCTACTTTTAGAGACTTTGTTTCTCCGCTTGGCAACCTGATATCTTCAAGAATTCGCTCATCCTCCCAAATATCCGCCAAGTCACAAAATGCCCGCTACTTCGCCGCCCAAACTGAAACTCCTCACAATCCTCCTCATCGCATCTCTCGTCCAGTCGGCAGCCGCTGAGATTATCAGCCGGGAACTGCTGTTCGACGACCCCAAATACTCGCAGGTCACATTGTCGCCGGACGGCGAGGATGTCGCCTTCTTGGCGCCCAACGAATACGGAATTAGCAATGTTTTCGTGCGCTGCATCACTTGTAAGGTCACAAAAGCCGTCACCTTCGAAATGAAGAAGCATATCACGGGTGAGTTTCAATCTTTTTGTTTGCAGTACAAATTAGAGTAATACTATAATAGAATCGCGTAGGAGAGGTAAACAAAAGGAGTTTCCATGGGGGTTTTTGTTTTTCCGGTGCTTTTTCTACGAAGAATTTTTGTGAAAAAGGCGAGGACAAATAAATTGGTCAACGAGTATTGTTTTCGCCACAGCAACTGAGGGGATGTTGTTGATTTTGATGGGAAATTTTGCAGGAAGCAAAAATAAAATAAATAAAAAAGGAAGTACTCGGCGGGCGGCCCTCGGATTTTGGTGAAACTTGGAAAAAATGTATGATAGCTTACAAGGGAAGTACCCCATAAGACGCTCAGACTTTGATGAAACCTGGTATAAATTTAGAATAATTTTTTCTAAAATATATACAAGAATCCTAGCTCGCGCTTTGCAGAAACAGCCGAGATTTTTAGATCGAAAGTTGACGAAAACTTGACACCTTTTGCCGAATTTCGGCACGAAAAGTTTCATACCCATTTCTACCATAGAGAGTAATGTTTCCACAAAAAAATCAATTTTTTCCGCACGAAACTAGCAAAGTTATGATAAAAAAAGTGTTTTTCTCTCTGACCGCTCTCCGCGTTTAGCGTACTCTCTCTGCGGCAAAGATCGTTCAATATCTCGGTGGCGCTTGCAAAGCGCGAGCAAATACTTTCAGGAATTGATACTTGCTTCATGACCCATGAGTGTGCAAAATGTAAAGAAAATCTGAGCGTCGCACTTGGGGTACTTCCATTCCTAGAATTTTCAAAAACTTGTGAGATTTTTATTAGCTCAAGCTTTGATGAAATCATCGAAAACTTTGGGACAAAGGTTGCCAGAAATTTGGCAACTTTTTCGAGTTTTAGCTTAAAAATACCAGGGTGTTTAAAGATAAGAAGCATAATGTCTTTCCTAGAAACATTGTACATCTCATTTCTATCAGACATACACAGGTATTTTTGAAGCCCAAAGCCGTAAAAATAATCGAATTTCTGGCAACTTTCCATCTGAAAATCTCAATGTTTTCTGTAAGCTCAAAATCCCTAGTGCATCTCAATAAATTCTGGACTAAAATTGTCTCAAGTTTCATCAAAAAGAAAGCGTTAAAACTGCAGCATCCGCAAGAAAATATCTTTTCTTATAAAACAGTATTTCTCTTTTTACTCAAAGCTCCCAACTTGCAGGTTATCACTGGACCGGAGTCAAGAACATCATTCTCTATACTCAAGACAACGACGGCGATGAGAACCTGAAACTCTACAAGATTAACGTCACCGAGTCGACTCCCTACACCCCGGTGCACACGATCTCAGACCGCGCCGGCGTTAAGGCCATCATAATCGACAATAATTTGAAAGGAGATCGGGTTTTGGTCGGGTTGAACGATGAAAACCCGGCTTTCCATAACATTTACGAGCTCAACTTGATCTCAAACGAAATGCGAATGGTCTTTCACAATGAAAGATTCCCGGCTAAGATCACAATCGACAACGACATGCGTATCCGATATGTAATGGAAGAGGCGGACGATGGCTCCGTCGTCTACTACAGGCCCTCGGAAAGGGCGGATCTCAACAAACTGACCAGCGACAACGACGATTGGGTCAGCTACTTGACTGTGAAGTCGGAGGATCGACCGTTGACCATGTAGGCGCGCTTTTAAAAATACATATATTAGGGTGAACCAAATAAAATTTCCGATTTTTTATTAAAAATTTAAACATAATCTTAGAACAAATGAAAACCAGTTAAGTTTCAAAGTAAAGGCCATTTGGATCTATGAATCTATAAAAATCTATTTCGTAAAAAAAATGGGATAAAAAGATATAAAAGATCGGAAAACAATTTTGGTTCACCCTAATGGAATTTAGGAGCTTTATTATTATTATCGTAATATAAGGGAAGCCTCTATTATACAGGGAGTTTCAAGAATTTTGGAACATTTTTGAAAAAGGCCCTAATTGTCTCCGCCGAGAAATGGGCTCTCCGCCTACGAAAAAAAAATATTTTTTGGTGATTCTAAAAACGCACGACGTCAATTTTTAGAAGCAAAAAGAAATTGGTTGATAGCTGCAAAGAACACAAAGATATTAGCAAATTATTTGTTCCAAATTTCTTGAAAAACCCTGTAGAATAGCCACCTTCACATTTTGCTCCAATCACTAACCCTCACTCTTTCAGGCCAATCGCCTTTTCCAAGGACAACAAAAAAGCGTATTGGTTGACAGCCGATGACACCGACATGGGTCAACTCACCGTGCACGACTTTGGCTATCCGGAAAAGGCTGAAGTTCTCTACAAAGCGGTTAGAACCCAAATTTTCGGTGTCATTTTCCACCCGGAAGATCGTACCGTGCTCGCGGTGACGGAATACTATCACAAGCCCGAATTCTACGTTGCCAACACTTCAATCTTGGAAGACATTCAGCATCTAGTCAATCTGAGGCCGCAGGCAACGCCTATGATCGAAAGTACTAGCAATGGTAGGGAAATGACAAGTTTTTATATTGCACTAAACATCAAGTGAAAAAATAAAAAAAAAAACCCTAATTTTAGACTTCAACACATGGCTGGTGACTTACACGTCCGACATCAAGCCATTCGAATTCTTCTTGTACAGACGCGACGCCAAAAAGGCTGAATATTTGTTCAGTACCAGACCTGAACTGCAAGGAAAACAACTGAACCGACAAGTTGGATTCGATTACAAGGCGAGGGATGGTCTCAAAATTCAAGCCTATCTGAGCTTGCCCCCTCAGGTAAGTGGAAAGATACATGCTTACTTAATTTCCCCAAATTTTAGGCCCAACTGTTGCGCGAAGACCAAGTGCATGGAGAGAATATTGAGCTCGCCAAGATGGGAATGCTGCCAGTACAGCCTCAAAAACTCATCTTATTCGTGCATGGAGGGCCCAAAGCCAGAGATTTCTATGGCTTCAACGCCTTCAATGCTTGGTTGACGAACAGAGGATACGCTATTATGCAGGTAAAAAAAGGGTTTTATTTATTTTTTGGAAACATTACAGTGAGAGAACTGATTCAGTGACAAAAAACGTACTATTTTGCATCCGGGAAGTATCAAAAATGTGGCAAAATGCTTCCCTCTCAAAAGGAAAAAACTTCGTTTTGAAAGCCGCACCCGATCTTTTTGTGAGGGCACCCTTCAAAACGAAGTTTTTTCAGTTGGAGTGGGAGACATTTTGCCACATTTTTTGATACTTTCCTGATGTATATTTCAAGCCAAAAATTTTGCTGGAAGCCTCGGAAATCGATTGGAAGGGATAGTTTTAGCAGCACAAGAGGTCCATTGAAAAAAAGCGGTCTGCAAAAAACGATTTCGAAGCATCTCAGCAAGATTTTTGGCTATAAAAATTAACCCTTGGCCAAAACGAGCTAACAGGTGAGAGTTTTTAATTTTTGAAGCCACTAATTATCCCCAGAAACGACAAAATACGCGATTATGCATCAAATTTTTGATAAAACCCCGGATTTTTCTTCCTATAAGACGTCCTTTCACAATTTAAATGACCATTTCAAATTTTAGGTCAACTTCAGAGGCAGTGTTGGCTTCGGCAAACGCTTGGCCAACGCCGGCAACGGGGAATGGGGCCGCAAAATGCACTATGATCTCCTGGACGCCGCCGAATTCGCCGTCCAAAAAGGCATCGCCAAACGCGAAGAGATCGCGATTGTGGGCGCCTCCTACGGCGGCTATGCCACACTGGTCGGGATGACATTCACTCCGGATGTGTTTGCCTGCGGCGTTGACATTGTTGGGCCTAGCAATTTGATCACACTGCTAGAGACCATTCCCCCGTATTGGGTTGGATTTTACAATGACATGATTACAATGCTGGGAGCTGACAAGAATACAGAAGAAGGTAAGGGACTAGAGAGCGAAATCCTTTGGGAAAAACATTCTTTCTTTGAGAGCAACCCATTCTTTTGGATTTGTGGAAATTCTAAAAAATCTGTCGTCAAGATAGATTTTTTAATAGTTTTACAATTACGCAACAAAATAAAAAAGTTGAGGAAAAGTGAAAGTACAGTGGCTGACCCGATCCAGTGGCAAAACACGTACCGTTTTGCTTCTGGGAAGCATCAAAAATGTGGCAAAATGCTTCCCTCTCCAAGTGAAAAAACTCCGTTTTGAACGGCGCTTTTGAAATCGGAGTTTTTTTTCACTTGGAGGTGGAAGCATTTTGCCACATTTTTGATACTTCCCGGATGCAAAATGATACGTTTTTTGCCCCTAGATCAGGTATCCACTGTACACAGCATCCCTTGTTTTGCAATTAATACAAAGTCATGTCTTCAGGCCGAGCCTCCCTAAAGAGCCGATCTCCTCTTTACTTTGCGAAACAAGTGAAGAACCCATTGATGATCATTCACGGCTCGAATGACCCTCGTGTAAAACAATCCGAATCGGATCAATTTGTCGATGAGCTCAAAAAGAACAACATCCCAGTCACCTATGTTGTCTACCCGGACGAAGGGCATGGCCCAAGAAAGCCGCGAAACGTCTTGGCGATGGCCGGATTTATCGAGGAATTCTTGTCGGACTGCCTGCATGGCGATGTCGAGCACTTTGTTCACGGACAATACAACTCGACAGCGATGGTAAGCGGCCTGTCTTGGCAGCTACAACTTATGCCTAGTTATTTTAGAGAGAAATTTATATTATCCATGGTTCAGATCTCTAAAATTTAGATTTTCCTCAATTTCTCGCTGTTTCTAAAAAAAATACCCTATAAAATACGACTTTCAGGTACTAGCCGACATCAAAAAGCCCTCATTCCATCGGAATCTGCACACGACACTAGGCGACGGCCAACGAGTGGGTCCCGCAGAGACCCAATGGCCAGGCTTGTCGCGGCCAACTGGACGATGGTTGTAACATATCTCTGTAAATTATTGCATATCTCACAAAACTCAGCTTTAAACAAAACGTGTAATAAATATCGAGTGTCCTCTTGACAATAGTTTTTTGCTTTTGCAAGACCCAAAAAAACTGGTAATTTCTTGAACGTGGTATGATTTTTCGGCGCTACGACATTTCGGGTCAGGGACAACTCGGGTCGCGACAACTCGGGTCAACGACAACTCGGGTCAACGACACTTCGGGTCAACGACACCTCGGGTCAACGACTCAAGGTCAACGATACCGTTTAATATTTTTGCTTCGGGACTTGGAAAAAAGAATTTTTTGGTGAATTTAAAAAATTTTTCAAATGTTTTCGCTTCGGGACTTGGAAAAAAGGATTTTTTGTGAAATTTGAATAAAATTTGAAATGTTTTCGCTTCGGGACTTTTAACAAAAGGATTTTTTGTGAAAATTGAAAAAAATTTGAAAGGTTTTCGAGCTGACTGAGTATGAACTGACTGAATATGAAAACTGGGTTTCTGTTACCTTACTGCCTTTAGGGATTCTTTTTGAAAATTTTTCGACTTATAGCACTTTTAGACGTTAATGGTGTTGTTTTGGTGCCTAGTACTGCTTAAAAAACACATTTTTAACACTTGGTACTAAATAGTACTACCTGGTACTATTTAGTACGAGGTGCAAATTTGGCCGTAAGGCGGTAATGGCGTTGGTTTGGTGCTTAGTAGAACCCAAAAACACGTTTTAACACTTGGTACTATATAGTACCAACTGGTACTGTTTTGTGAGAAGTGAAAATTTGGTCATGAGGCAGTAATGGTGATGGTTTGGCGCTTAGTAGAGCCCAAAAACACGTGGTACTATATAGTACCAGGTGGTATCATTGGTTTTAGACAAAATTTTAGTACTGCCGGCACCACAGTTAATATTCAGTCAGAAACCCTTTTTTTTACTTCCGATGCGAAAACATTTCAAAATTTTGTTGAATTTTCCAAAAAATCTTTTTTTCCCAGTCCCGAAGCGAAAACACTTCAAATTTTTTTCAAATTTCACAAAAAATCCTTTTTTTCCAAGTCCCGAAGCGAAAACATTTCAAAAATTTCTCAAATTCACCAAAAAATTCTTTTTTCACAGTCCCGAAGCGAAAATATTAAACGGTATCGTTGACCCGAAATGTCGTTGACCCGAAGTGTCGTTGACCCGAGTTGTCGCGACCCGAGTTGTCCCTGACCCGAAATGTCGGGACGCGGATTTTTCGAGCTTCTTTTTGGATTTTAGGTAGATATAAAACGTTTCACAATAGTTCGACACAAATCTCGGTCGTTTCTGCAACGCACGATCTAGGAACCCCGCATGCACGGCAGTCTGTACTTTTGGGACAACCGCGACTTTTTCAATTTTTTTGGAATATGCCTGCTTTTTCTCTCCATGTCTCGCTAGCCGTTTGCGCTAGAAGGCTGAAATTTGGAATGGCAGTAGAGTAAAAAGCTGGCTTTCAGAAAATATATAATAGATACTGTAAGGAACACGGCAGTATAAACTTCCCGATGTCAATTGAAAAAATTTCATTTTTAAAACTTCTGCAACCCAGCAGTGCAGGTTTCATGATCGTATTGATAAATTTATTTTTGTCTATGTGTGTCAAATTCGATTCTCTACAAGACGGCAACATTTCATCTTATTGGTTACGCTACGGGCTGAGTCAACAATTTGAAATTTCGGTGGCAAAGTGCAGGCTGGGGCTCCTGCCTTGAGTAAAGCCAAGTCACATCCTCAAGGAGCGCACATATAATATTTTGAAATTAGCCCCGTGTAGTGAAACTGTTCGTCTTTGAATGACCTTAGTTTGCAGTTGCATCTGGTTCTTATCAACCCCTAATAAACCAAACTTTATACTCGCACTGAATTTACGGGCCTGAACCCCCATTCTCGACGACTTATCAGGTCAGCTCGGGATGTGTAAACATTGCCAAATTACCGGTCGTAAATTGGAGTTATGGTCGTGAAAAATCATCTGGATGATGATTAGATAACACGGGCGATACTGAAGAAAGATGATGACGATTGGGTACTGTAACAAAAAGCTGCAAATTATTTTTGGCAATTTCAGAGGAAAGAATTGATGATTTTGAGGAAAGCCATACAATTGCTTGCAATAAAGTACGCGTTCGACTGTTTGCTTCATTTTCAGCTTGAGTCATGTTTATTTTTCAAATTTGTCATACATTAAACAGTCTAATTTTTCACACAAAGCAGTATAGCTGCGCAAATAAGGCCTGTAGAGGCATTTGACGGCAAAAAGAGGTGTCTAAAACTCAGTGTATGCATTTTACCGTATCATGATCAAGTTTATAGGGGATATATTTTTCATTGTCGAGTATTATAAGGGATGTATTGTTGAGGGGACCATTTTTTGGGGATTTTTTGCCAAAATTGCAGATTTTTTTGGATTTTTTTTCGTATTTTATAAATTTTAAAAGACCAAATAATTGTTTCACGTGGGTTAAATGTCCTTCCCACCTCCTGTTTTACACCAAATTTCCTTCGAATCCGGTAAACTTTCTCACATTAGCGCCCGAAAGTCGGGGCCGGGGTTAGAGGAGATAATAATTTTTTAATCGAAAGTCAAACGGGAAATCGTATTTCAGCGGGTTTAAGCGTCTTCCGACTTCGGCTCCTGTTATTTGTTTGCGGTTGAGCTTTCGGGAAGCGCCAAAGAAAGTTTTAGGTTTCTTCTTCGCCGAAACGTTGAGGCGTTTGCGGATTGCTGCAGGTTCGGGGAGTGAAGGATCCAGAATGCGGATTTCTTTTGATTTTTGGAGATAACGGTTACCGTAGACCGTAGAATACGCCAAGTTTGGCTTTTGTTTTGTCTTGAGAGGCTGTTGAGGGTTTTTGAAAAATTTTGGCGACAATAAAAACCTTGATTCATGTTCATCACTCACAATTTTCAGGCCATATCGTTGCGTAAACACTCGATCTTGCGTAACAATTTAACAGTCGATTTATGAGGTAATAAAGAGCGGATCCTGATAAAAAATTAGTGCCAAAGAAGCACCGTAAACCAGATCGAATCGCCGAAGTTTTCACGGTACAGTAACTGTTAAATTTTTGTCCTGTTTTTCTCTCCTTACCAAATCCCGTTTACCCCGCAAATTGCATGTTATTTCGGACCCATTCTTCATCATCCTAACACCTTTATCAACAGTTTGTTCAACGATAAGACAGGCGCCAAGCTTCCGGCAAGGGAAGGGAATCCAAAAAATTCCAAATTATTATTTATAGAGTGGGCAAACAATGAGTAGAATCGTTCCGAAAAATAGTCCAAAAATTAGATTTTTCGAAATTTGAAATGCCATATTTTGAGTGTTTCTGCATAACGCGGTCTGAGGTTTTTTGGAAAATTTTTGGGAAATTGATTTTTTTTTTGATCTTTGCCTTGGGCAATCAGTTTTAAAATTTTTATTTTTTAAATTTTTGAAACTTTTTGACTATTTCTGCATAACGCGGTCTGAGGTTTTTAGGTTGATTTTTTTGATTTTTTGCCGTGGGAAATCAATTTAAAAAATTTTATTTGATGGATTTTCGAGACTATTTGATTATTTCTGCATAACGCGGTATTGAATTTTCAAAAAAAAAATCTTAAAAAATCTCTTTTTAAGACTTTTTAGCGATCATTTTTTGAGATTTTTGACTCGACCATTTTTGCACAGTGCAATCAGACCAAAAATTCAAAACCTTTCCAACCCACTAACTCATCACGCGGTCCCAAATTGTTAATTTATTCGTTTTTCACATAAAACTGCTCATCAACCCCGCATTCAGCATTCGTTTTGTAATTGTTTTCGAATGTGTTAAAGTAGGTGATCTGCTCGCTTGAGTGTTAAAACAAACTTTTTTCCGGTCGGTTGTCACTTCCATTTGTGTTCCCAAGTTTCAGCGATCATTTTTTTGCCGAAATTCTTTTGTTTTTTGTCAGTGAGAATGCAATCTTGATGTCTGAGGACCTTGATGGGCAGTTGAACATCGAAAAAGTACTGTGGAATTTTTTGGGAGGGTAAAATACGATGATTTTAGTATCGCCTTATTTTTGTAAAAAATTTAAAAGACGATTTTTGGCTCGCTGCGTCAGCGGTGGACATAGGAAAAAATCATTTCTGAGTTTTTTGCATAAAAATGACCGTCGACATGTGCTAAGGAAAAGCGAACAACAGTTTTTCTCAATTCTGCCCGGAAGGCATAAATTTGCTTAAATTTGTCTTTTTTGGAATTTTCGACCTGGTGACGTCATAGAAAGAGCAAATCACCCAAAATTTTGCTTGTGTACGTTTTCGACCATTGGGAATTCATTTTTTTGAAAATTAAGTCTCTCAGATTACTGTAACATAGGCATATTGTAATCCGGTCGATAAAAATCGACCGTAACTCCTTCGTATCAAAAATCCCGCAGGATTTTATTTCAGATTCGGAATCAGCATAAAATTCTGCATATTATACACATAATGTGAGGTCATAACTCCAGGGGAGATCGCGTAGTATATTGGATTTTGGCAAAAATTACGTTTGAAAGGTCGCGGGTTCGATCCCCGCTTGGTGCAAATATTGAAAACACGGCGGAAATCGCCTTTAATGGACACCTAAGGGTTATGTGAGATACACTAAGCAATGCTAAACATTATTGCATATCTAATTGCGATTAAAACTGATTTTATATAATTTTTGGAGACTGAATATGCAAAAAATGAAACTGCTTCAAACCGCTTGAAATTGACAACACTTATTCTAGGGTCAATTGTAAGAAACTTTTCCGTTAACTTTTTTTGGTAGATCACCGTACCATGGATTACTGTAACATTAAACCTGATTTGGTTTTTCGTGTACCACATGGCGCATAGAAGTCGGATTGTCGTCATTGCGCTCAGAATGGTCAAGAAAGAGTTTTCTTGTGTACAAAAAATTTTTTATGGCTGTACCGTTAGGAACGGCCGAGTTATTTGACGCACTTTCACCAATTT